TTAAATCAAGAGGTTGTGTATAAAGTCGACGGCATCCAGGCATCCACGTGGGACGCTAGCACGGCGCTGGCACGGCAACCAAGTTGCTTAAGAACGTTATAATTTCTCATCATTTATTTCTCATCAGGGAACGTACTATCTCAGTGTGACGCTAATCGGAATCAAAGCTTGGTAGCTAGCTTATTGCCAGAACGCAGTCACCGACTGTCTAATATTCGTTTACAAATCTCCAAATTTCAATGTAAGAGATAACACAAAATATACAAGACATATAGTAGTATGAATCATCTCCCATAATTGGTTACGTAACAAGATCCGATCAAATCCTGTCCCAGATTTGCGTCTCCTTCGTAGAACTGCTATACATAGTACAAGTACACATGGTCACCGTTTTGTATTTGGTGAGCTCTGGAATGTATTTCAAATTACTTCATGTTAGTATGAGTAAACAGATGTTAAAAACTTGAAAAAAACCAAATCCAGTGGTGACCAAAAAGGTAAGTTTTCATTCTTCTCAGTTTTCTAGTTTTCTGTACAATACCGCTCACATTTTTTGAAAAATAGACGCGAATGTATGGACATGTATGGACATGTACGGACATGTCCATACATGTACGGACATGACCATACATGTATGGACATGTCTATACATGTACATCAGCGTCGCGTGGCCATATCTCGCTTCAGAGTGGACGAATTCTGAATCCAAAGCCACCGTTCGATTCAGCTCGGCGCGAAGAATCTTCTGATATATTGGAAGTGGGGGTACGATGTCTTCGATATTCCGTTTTCAGTTTTTCAATTTGTTCTGCGGAGGTCCTTTCGCGAATATGTGAAGCAACGCCTACCCAACATAGAAGACTTTTTTAAGTACTGTTCGATAATACTGTTCTTGTAGATTATTGTGCGATAAAAAGTAGGCTCAGACTTCTTTTCAAAGGAGATAGAAGCGTTGGTGAATTTTGGGAAAATCACGCGTTTTTAAATTCTACTCGCCATAACTTCCTTCGGAACAAGTACATTTTTAATCCGAAAACAGCGCCTTGCTCAGCTCATCAAGGCGAATCTTCTCATATACAGCATGTCCTTGATATCTCGATTTCAGTATTCTTAAATCTTTCTGAGGATGTCTTTTCGCGAAGGTGTAAAGCAGCGAGCATTGTCCCGAGTACATTCCAGCAAGAATATTTCGATAGCACTTTTTCTGTAGATTATAGTGTGCTAGATAGTAGCCGCAGGTTTCTTTTCAAAGGAAGTAGAACGGCGAGTGAATTGTGGAAAAATCTTGTCGTCCCAAATTCTACTCGCCATATCCGCAGGATACGAGGCTATCTTGCTAAGCAGATGTTTTCGAAATCAGCAGGTCGCATAACCTCTACGAGCAAGTTTTCCGATACGTCCGGGTTATTCCATTTTTTCTCGTTTTACGCTCCGGAACCTCGCCGATGGATTTTGGTCAAAATGTTGATGCTCTTGGATTGTAGGGAAACTTTGCTTATAGAGGTTTTCGAACGCGCTCTTTACGAAAATCGTGGTCTTTGAGGATCACAGAGTCTTTTTGGAGAGATACGGTGAGGTGACTGTAACTGCAGCGCGAAAGTGCGTAATTTTGGCCGCACTTCTCGCGTATCTGTCAGAAACCTTGCCTGCTTGCTTCTCTCAGTCAAAGTTACTAGGAATTGTGCTTCGAATGGTGCATTACTCAGGCTCCAGTTTGTGAAATTCGCCGAGTTACGAGCCTACGAAAACACGTCCTCATAAATTTTGCCCAAATGTAAAGATCGCATATCTCGTCGAAATTCCTCCGTGAGCACTTGTATGACGCTCGTTGCAGATATTATGTTCGCTTCGTCGAACGACTCCCACTGTACTGAATATGGTGCTTGCGTCTGCTTCAATTGCTCAATTGAATATCAAAGCTATTTCGTGGCTAGAGCTCAAAGCACCAAGCCTAATACAACATTAAAAAATTCTAGATACTTTACAATCTCGGAGCACGAATATTTTCAAACGCAGAATCAACACACTTGATCTCTTACGTTTGAGGCATTCTGAGAATGAGTAATGAATAGCACCAATTCGTCATCTGTATTGCTATAGCTGGCCATGTGCGATTACATTATCCGACCACAAAATGCATACCAAATACAACCATCAATTTGTGTTTTTTAATATTATTTTCTTTCAAATGTCTTACTAACCCATATCTTGCTATTACGTTAGTTCAGGTCTAATCAATTTACTTCTCTTCCCAATCATTACAGCTTGTTGACTTGCTCTTAAATGAATTACAAAAAGTGAAACCATTTGATATTCTTTCGGAGTCAGTGGACTCTCCCCGGAAACATTTGGGCAGGGTTGATTGGTATTACTGCACCAACCGAGCCCCGCTTTGCTTCATTATTGCAAGAGCATCTTTTGCTGGCAAATGAGTTGGCATGATTGCCATCTCCATAGGGTTGTTTCATACTACCGCACTGACTGCAGCAGTCTGCACTGACCGCAGCAGACTGCAGCAGACTGCAGCTGACTGCACTGACTGCAGCAGACTGCAGCAGACTGCAGCTGACCGCACTGACCGCAACGACCGCAGCGGCTGTAGCATGCAGGCGGAGAGGATAAATAGTTGTAATTTAAACAAACACAACAGTATATACGTAAAAGCAAAAGACAACACGGTACAGAATGTTACAAAACGGTATATGCAATGATAGGAGGAATTAGAACAAATACGAAAATACCGAAGAAAACTATCGCCAAAATTTGATTGAGAAGAATTCTGATGGAACTTATGATCTTCTTATGCGTAAATCACGCTGTTTTGGTAATCGCGGTTGTTTCTTCTAAGAAAAAGGCTACGACCGGTGCGGTCAGTGCGGCCAGCTGCAGTCAGCTGCAGTCAGCTGCAGTCTGCTGCAGTCAGTGCGGCTGTCTGAAACAACCCATAGATTACAATAACCTAACTTGATTACGCTCACGTATGAGTTATCCATCATTACAACCCTTATTGAAATTCACTTGGAGTCACTGGCTCCACTGGTTTACTGATTTGGTGGGGTCAGATAATATACCCACCATCAAATCTTGTTTGCTTGTTAAAATCAAAATATTTTGCTGGCAAAAGGGGGCATGGGTACATTTCCATGAATCGCATCATTTAATTCCGATAATCATAATCATAGAGCAGTCAAATACAAGCTTTCATCACATTTTTATCAAGATTAGACCTAAACTAATGATGCACTATCGTTGCGGTTAGAGTATAAATGACTGCTTTCTATTCTATTGTATGGAACGACAAGAGCGTATAGAATAAATAAATAAATGAATAGAAATGTGAAAGGATTTGATCAGCGCGTGTACAAGCGCTCACGGAGGAATTTCGACGAGATGTGCGATCTTTACATTTTGGGCAAAATTTATGAGGACGTGTTTTCGTAGGCTCGTAACTCGGCGAATTTTACAGAATGGAGCCTGAGTAATGCACCATTCGATAGCATAATTCCTAGTAACTTTGACTGAGAGAAGCAAGCAGGCAAGGTTTCTGACAGATACGCGAGAAGTGCGGCCAAAATTACGCACTTTCGCGCTGCAGTTACAGTCACCTCACCGTATCTCTCCAAAAAGACTCTGTGATCCTCAAAGACCACGATTTTCGTAAAGAGCGCGTTCGAAAACCTCTATAAGCAAAGTTTCCCTACAATCCAAGAGCATCAACATTTTGACCAAAATCCATCGGCGAGGTTCCGGAGCGTAAAACGAGAAAAAATGGAATAACCCGGACGTATCGGAAAACTTGCTCGTAGAGGTTATGCGACCTGCTGATTTCGAAAACATCTGCTTAGCAAGATAGCCTCGTATCCTGCGGATATGGCGAGTAGAATTTGGGACGACAAGATTTTTCCACAATTCACTCGCCGTTCTACTTCCTTTGAAAAGAAACCTGCGGCTACTATCTAGCACACTATAATCTACAGAAAAAGTGCTATCGAAATATTCTTGCTGGAATGTACTCGGGACAATGCTCGCTGCTTTACACCTTCGCGAAAAGACATCCTCAGAAAGATTTAAGAATACTGAAATCGAGATATCAAGGACATGCTGTATATGAGAAGATTCGCCTTGATGAGCTGAGCAAGGCGCTGTTTTCGGATTAAAAATATACTTGTTCCGAAGGAAGTTATGGCGAGTAGAATTTAAAAACGCGTGATTTTCCCAAAATTCACCAACGCTTCTATCTCCTTTGAAAAGAAGTCTGAGCCTACTTTTTATCGCACAATAATCTACAAGAACAGTATTATCGAACAGTACTTAAAAAAGTCTTCTATGTTGGGTAGGCGTTGCTCCACATATTCGCGAAAGGACCTCCGCAGAACAAATTGAAAAAACTGAAAACGGAATATCGAAGACGTCGTACCCCCACTTCCAATATATCAGAAGATTCCTCGCGCCGAGCTGAATCGAACGGTGGCTTTGGATTCAGAATTCGTCCACTCTGAAGCGAGATATGGCCTCGCGACGCTGATGTATGGACATGTCCATAAATGTATGGACATGTACGGACATGTACGGACATGTCCATACATGTATGGACATGTCCGTACATGTCCATACATGTCCATACATTCGCGTCTATTTTTCAAAAAATGAGAGCGGTATTGTATCTTGGTCTAGGTACGTCCTGGCCTATCAGCTATTGCTTACAGGTTAGGCAGCGTCCATGTTGCCCGTGTGATGGCACTGTGTCAGCGCTGTGCAAAAAAGCCGATGAATACGGGGCATGCATACGGTATGTACGGTTTCGGCACGGCGCTGGCTCGCCGCTGGCACGGACACTCTGAGCGCAGCTTCAAAAAAAAAACTCACAGAATTCTGTTGCTTGTTTACGGAGCTCGGGTCAAGTAAGGCGCCGATTTGTATCACATGCTTCTTCCGTCCGCGTTGCACCACTTGCAAAACTAGAATCAACTGATCTTTCTTATATTGCACCTGTATTGGAGCTATTTTGGTAACGTACTTCGTTTGCTTAGATTGAGAGTGTATCTTCGATAGGGTTCATTGCATAATATCATAGTTATTGATGACACAAGACCATGAAGCGCAATGGCACCCATGGCGATATTACCAATACCTTCAAAATTGTTGATTACAAAGTTACACTCGGTACGGACGTGGAGTTTGTATCGACCGCAGCGCCTTTTTTCAAGGGGCAACGTGGACGAGTTCCTTTTGTATTCCCAAATCAATGAAGGCATGTCTGTTCACTGAAGCTCACAACGCCGCGCAAAGCGGTTGTACCGGTTCGAAAGGGGACGTTACGATGACGACTGTACCTGCTAATCAGCGGCACCGCGCTCTCCATTCCTTGTCTTATTTTCACGTCTCTCTCTCTCTCTCTCTCTCTCTCTCTCTCTCTCTCTCTCTCTCTCTTCATCAACTCGGCGCTATATGGTCTGTCCCAATCTGAATCAACCAAAGCGGTTTTGGTCACACCTATGACCTGCTTGCCTGCTCTCTCTTCAATCTCTTCGCTATCTCCGGCAATGCATATATGCAGTGCATACCCCTAGTGCGAGTGCTCTCGAATGACACAGACTGTACGCACACGTGCGTAAAGATATGGGGCATATACTGCGTACGCTGCGCAATTTGGCGTACAGCGAGGCTTGCGTTATATCAGATTACGCATAGAATCCATGCATTTACTGTTTCAGCAAGGACTGGAGAAAAATACTCCGTTGCAATTGCCTTATTTGTGTATCCATAATGATTAATTTGTCGGGTATTTGATTCACTATGATAGGTAAAATTATGACTTTTATGACTGTTACACTATCGACAAAGTGCTATATAGGCAGCGTCCGAAATAACCCATGCAACGCTGTGTCAGCATCGTGCTTGCATCGTGGCGAAACGAATGTGAACGTCCGCGGGATCGATCAAGCGACCCGGGCGTTACCACATAGCTGAAAAGGCGCGACGCTGGCCTGACAACTGACGCAATCTTACCTTGCGCTTTCATTTCCGAAGTTATCATGGTAAGTATGATAATAAACAGCGGAAGAAATAGGCAAACTCCAGGGATTGAAGCCTGAAGAGATTGCTTTAAATGTTTTACGACTTTTTGTATGCATTTTTGTGGTCGAAACTGCATACCGCGAAATCTTCCGGAGCATCATGTTGATAGAAAATCTCACCTGTATATACACGTAATAAAGAAATCGCCTCTGCATATTTCTGGTTTTTTCCGAGAGATTGCCCTTTTGATTGAGATAATGATAATAAGACCAGATGATTACAATCATCAAGGGTGCACCCAAGATAATGAGGACTATTGAGCTAATAAGAAATTGTCGAACGCTTTCCGGTGTATAGATGTGGAGCCGTGGAACATTCATTACCGATAGGGCGCATGAGTATTCCTAAAGTAATATTTTTTATTCCTAAAGTAATATTTTTATACGACTCAAAGTTTGTAAGTATGGTAACCTTTGATTTAACTGGATTGGCCTCGGGAAGGCGGGGCTTTGTGACGTAATTAAGGTCGCTCGCGCCCGCGACGCAACTGCGTCTCTCTCGCGCGAGTGCTCTCTTACGACTAGCTAGCCTTGATTAGGGCACGAAGCTCCGCCTTCCCGAAGCCAACCCGGTTGAATAAAATGGTATATATGGTTTTCCCGCAGAAACTTTCCCATAGGTGCTACTGACGCGCTGCCTTTCGATCGTTTCAGCACGTCAGCTTCTCCGCCAAATTGGAGGCGCTCATTCAAGTTGACATGCTAAAACGATCGAAAGGCAGCCACGTTGATGGTTCATATGAGAACATTTCTGGGGGATGCACGATATGTATGTTTTATAGACTCCTTTGTGCGTTGATCATTTCAGCTGTAACTTTGCACACATATGCTTTCGACCACGATGGAAAAGAGAAGCTACTTCTCGCGCAGATTTGTCAGGTCCTTCTATCGCTTTGTTGGTTCTTAGCACTTTGCAACGAAAATGATCCCTATTACCCTGCTTTCCAGTTTTTTGTAAGCAATAGCTTTAGAGCATTTTCATTTTGCAATGACTAACATGAGTTGACCAGAGGGCGTATTGTGTCGCGGCGATGGTCTGTTGCTACAGGAGCGCCAATGATGCCCTGAGGGGACGAGAGCCAAGTACCCTTAACTGTGCAGAAGAAAGGATATAGTAGCTGAGAAAAGTAAAGATAAGTCTTTTCTGTCAGATATTGCATAACATACCTTGCGCGAGCAACAAACACCACCGGGGTGGGACCGGGGATGCTGGCCAATATATATATATATATAAAACCCAGAGTGCGTAAATATAGTGTGAATCTATGTTCCTAACACATGAGCGGGCCTGTAAGGCTACCCTTCCCCCTTTATAGAAAGTCACGGCGGTTACCACTTTTCGCGGCGATTTGCTGGTACCCTTCTATCAATCTGTTGGTTTGCTCATTTACATCTAGGAAGTATGAACAGAACAAAATGAAGGAAAGGGAGGGTAAGGCATAAGACGCTTTGGATCACAATATGCCAGGCCAGTTTGAACCCACTGACAGAGGGAGGGACAGAGATCCACGCTGGATAATTCTTTAGAAAATGTGCTTTGCATTTGCAGCTACTTACTACAATTGTCCCCCTCATGGTCTGCTGTCTCAACGTGGCGAGGTGCCCCTGGGTGTAGCAAGAAGATCCGAATTTGCGAGTCAGCCCAGCTAAAGCAGACCACCCCAGGTCAACATGTCAGGATGCGTTGCCACCTGCCTTACAATGCGTGCTGAAGTTCCCAGGAGGCAAAAACCGTTAGTGTCATCCAGAGAGCTACTTCGACACACCCCTAGAACGCTCCAGTTAGGTTATTTAGGGTGACGGAAAATTCAACGGCTTGTACAACTGTAAACCAGTCGCCCCGTACTCTGCGCACCGTGTTCGTCTGCCGCTTGAGACGTTCGGATGGCAGCACGACCGGTGAGGGGCGAAGAAATCTAGTGCAAAAGCGAGATGTCCATTGATCCTATCGGCAACAATGCGGATTCGACAAGACACGGGGGCTGTTTTCGATTGTGCACATACAATGCAAGGACCTTAGCTTCAGCCTACGAGCTCTTCGTTCTCCTAAAGGCCGCAAGCTGCATTAAATTCGATGTGATTGCTTTGCAGGAAACGAAGAACAGAAGCTCGACAACGCTCAGAAGGGAGGATGGAACTCTTATCATACTAGGAGAGAAGGTTCCAACACGTAGTGTTGGAGGCGTGGGATTTGTCGTACACCAATCCGTTAGCGACCTCGTCGACTCTTATGAGATCTTGTGCCACGACTAGCAGTCGTAAGACTTGTTGCTCCAGGTCGGGAGAAGATCAGTATCATCAACTGTTATTCGCCCATAGATGCAGCAGATGAATTCGAACTCGACAAGTTCTATGAGGAGCTGAAAGACGCCATTCGCAAGGAGAATTCATTCTACAAGTTCATCGTTGGCGAAATCAATGCAAGGATAGGACAATCACAACACCAGCAAGGCGACAGAATTGGAAAATGTGGACTGAGAATCGGAACGAGAATGGAGACAAACTCGTCGGACTCCGAAGCGGCCCGTCTATTCCGTGGAAATTCGTTCTACCAGAAGAAAGAACACCGCCGCTGGACATGGGAGTCACCAAATGGAACGGCACATGCAGAAATCGATCATATTCTTGTCAACAAGAATTGGAGCTTGATCGATGTCGGAATGGTTCCGTCATTCTGTACAGGTTCGGACCACCACTTACTTCGTGCAAAGATCCGCTTCAACCGAATGGAAAGAATATCTTGCCATCGCGCGAAGTCTAGAAGTGAAGTCGTATACGACGAACGCATTTTCGAAAACGCCAATTTTAGACATGACTGAAAGGAATGCGAAGATCCAACAGAAGATCTAGAAAAGCTGATTGAAGAACTACGCAGCTGTGCAGAGCGGGCAATTCTTACTGTGGAAAGAGGCTCGGAATGGTTGACAAACAACACCAAGGAGCTTCTTCAAAAAAGGAGAATCCTGCACGCAGATCTAACTGTATCGCATCTCGAGCAAGTACTATTCAACGGCATTTGCAGGAAAGCCGTACCAGAGGATCTAAAGCGATATAGACAAATGAAGATAGAAGAAGCAGCACAGAACATAGGGACCTTCGCGGCCACGAGATACCAATGCAAGCTCTACCGAATAAGGACGGAAGACTAGTGAACTCCCGACGCGAAATGGAAGCGACAACAAGGGACTTTTATAACGAACTTTTTTGATTTACGACGCCGGTACCAGACCCTGTCATCCCCACCGGCAAGCAGCCACAGAATATTCTTCCTTCGGAAGTAGGCTCGGCCATAGACTGTATGAAACCAGGCACAGCCTCTGGCCTTGACGGAATCACCGCCAACTTACTGAGAGCAGGCGGACACAAGTTACACACTCTATTGGCAACTCATATGGCACGCTATCTGGAGAAGGAAACATTACCCAACCAGTGGAGGACATCCTGCACTATTTTTCACAAGAAAGGCGGAAGAGAAGACCTTAGGAATTACCGACCGATCAGCTTGCTAAGTGCGCTTTACAAGCTGTTCACGAAGACCACCATATCGCGTATTTCGAGGACAGTGGATGAAGCGCAACCGACTGAGCAAGCCGGATTCCGTAGAGGATTTAGCTGCGTCGATCACATCCAAACAGTCCCAAAGGTAGTGGAGGTCTGCCGCGAATACCAACTGCTACTCCTCACCATCGATTACGAAAAGGCCTTCGATGGTGTGGAAAGCAACGCCTTTCAACTGCTTTGATCGACCAAGACGTGGACCCAACATACATAAGGACTGTAGCGGACTACAACAAAGAACGTACCAGCACGATACAGCTGTTTGACCACCCGCTCCATATCCATATCGAGAAAGAACTCCGACAAGGTGACACGTTGTCGCCAAAGCTGTTTACCGCGGTACTGTGGTGCGTGCAGTCGCTCGATTGGGAAACGAAAGGGGTTTGCGTGGATGGAAGGTACCTTGCGAATCTCCGTTTCGCAGGCGATATCGTTTTGTTCTCGAAGTTCATTAGCGAAGCCGAAGGATGCTGAACGAATTTGACGAAAGCGGGAGAAGGTTTGGACTCAGGATGAATCGAAAGAAAACGCAGTTCATGAGGAACACCCGGTGCAGTGAAGGTCAATTACTCTTGGATAGAGCACCGATAGAGTAGAATTCATCTTACGTTTACCTTGGACGCGCCATCAATATGAACAATGACATGAAGGATGAGCTCAGCCGAAGACAGAGAGCAGCTTGGACAGCATTCGGTCCTCTGAGAGAAGCTACAGAACCTTGCTGATCCGAAATCGCGGGCTCATCTTTTTAATGCGACATTTCTCCCGGCCTTGTGTTACGCAGCCGAAACCTGGGCTGATACCTCAGCAACGGCGAAGGCACTACGAACGGCACACAGGGCACTCGAAAGAAAACTTCTGAAGATGACCAAATTCAGACAATATCGACTTGGAATCCGGAGCTCCGACCTCAGACATTTATCGCGTCTAGAAGATCCAGCAGAGTACGTATCGAAGAATAAGCACAGATGGGCCGTCATGTATTGAGAAGAGAAGACGACAGATGGACAAACAGAACGATAGAATGGATTCCAAGATCCTCAAAACGTCTACGCGGAAGACCACCGAAGAGATGGTATGGCGAATTTGTTGCCCGTGTAAACCAACTGCGCCAGCAATTAGAGTTTAACTCAGGATCGTCCATCAGCAATCGCAACCGCGTATCAAGACGATCATGGATGACGTTTGCACGAAACCGTAACGAATGGTCAAAAGTTAGGGCCCGCACGACGTGTGAGGACGGGCCATCTAAGTAATTTAAGTAATCTAAAAGGAAAGCTACCTAACTTAGCTCGGCTTTTTGGTAAAAGTCATATATATTCTGAATCAGCTTTAAACGCTAATTCCAAATATGCTATTCCTAGCTGCCATGCACCATTTCGAAGCGAGTTATGGGCTTTTTCCGACCCAAAATTGGTATACTACTGAATATGAGAAGACTCCCTCTAGATAAAAATCTGCAAGAAAAGGGTGCTAGGGTATCGAAATAGTACAATTCCAATCTTTTCTCACTAAAAAAAAGCTTAACGCAGGTGTATCAGCACTTGAATAAATGACATGATGCCCGTGAGTCGATGAGCATGCCAATTCTGCGCAGGTAAAAGCCCATAACTCGCTTCGGAATGATGTGCGGCAGCTAGAAATAGCATATTTGGAACCCGCGTTTGAAGCTGATTCAGGCTATATATGCCCTTTGCCAAAAGGCCGAGCTAATTTAGGTAGCTTCCCTTGTAAGTACTAGGATTGTGACGCGACGTCTGCAGGTTTCATGAGGTCGATCCATGGAAAATGGCTGCGCACGTTTTCACGACCGCGACCAGGGCCTGGTACAGCTGGAACCGGGTTAGATTGTTTCTGGAGGCAAAAGCAAAGGAACATCGTTTTTGCGAGGTCCGCCGCAGGCATGCCGATGGCATCAGACATCATGCTTTATTTCAACGAAAATGCAATGGTATTCACCGACTTTGGTGTGCGCATGCGCGTACAAGGACTCGAACGGTAACCCAAAAATGGGTTTAAACCTACGCGAATGGAATCCGTGCTCAATTTTTTCCTGAATTAGCTGAACATTCCAGCTGAGTTCCACTTAAGTTAAAACCGGCCCTTCGCTCACATAATTTTTATAAATTTTTACATGCATGGTCCCTTCAACCTAAACTTTTTTAAACGGGCAAGAAACAGTCCTCCAGGTTTTTATAACCTTTAGAGATTTTCACTGGCGGTGCAGTCTGCTCCGATCGAAAAGCGCGCACCCAAGCAAATACGTTCGATGTTAGTTATGCTTGCCTTCATATCTCCTTTTCGTTCTTTATGGTCTTTCTTGTTATACGCTTTTTGTCATCGTTCTTGCGGCAGGGAAGGGCGGATGTGTTGAGATGGGGAGAGGAGGGCGGATGTGTTGAGATAGGGAGAGGAGGGCAAGAAGTGGAGCAGGGAATGGGAAAAGTGCTAAACCAATGGCTTCCCGGCTCCAAGTCTATATATAAAGCTGAATGTCTGTTTGTCTGTCTGTATGTCTGTATGTCTGTACGTATAGGGCATACCAACCACCATCGGTCGTGAGTACCCGCGGGATGAGGGTAGAGGTACGAACGCCTCAATTAGACGCCGCCTCTGCGGGCTGCTGGTCCTTTCGTCTTACTATTGTATCGTCGACTCTAAAAATCGTGACGACGGTCTGCAGTGCGGCCAGTGCGCGCCGCACGGCACTGCCACCTAGTGATTCGCCCAAATTACGTGGAGAAGGTGAGTTCTTGTGGTTTTTCTTTTTCTTTTTGCATCTTTTTTGCTTGCTGGAACTGATACATCGTGTTGGGCCAGTAGTCCGCGGAGGCGGTGCCAAATTGAGGCGTTCGTTCCTCACCCGCGGGATGAGGCTGCAAAGGCGCGACGCGGGTACCCGAGTAAATTAGTACCAGAGCGCGAAAGTCTGCTGGTAGATCTGTGGCTAGGATTGATTTCGTGTATCTGTCGAACTTTATTTCGTACTTGATTGCATGTTGGAATATCTTGTTTTCCGTTGTTCTCCGTATTTCATGCCATTTAAGCAGCATGAGCACTCTGAAACTTCTTTTATTCCAAATTGGTAATGGTTAATGCAGCTTTGTGTGACTGTGACTCCAATCTGACACTTTGATTGTATCAATTTTGAGATTAGGAGACTTGAGAACGCTCCACATATTGTTTAACAGACTTGAACATGTTTCTCCTTCAATCTCTAGTAGTAAACCAACCAAATGGGGTGAAAAACAATAACACTTTCTCCTCATGCTTGAGCAAAGCGTGCTCGAGTCTCCTCAACTCAGAATAGATGACAATTTTCTGCTGTGCATGAGCAAAAGATGCGCTTCGCCATCTCTGCTTGAACACTCTTCATTCGAACAGCGCCACCACCTGAAATAGTTAGCAATCGTCACAAGCACGGGATCTGATGCCTAACAAGAGCAGAGGTGCGCTAGGTGGAGTCGGGCCCTCTAAAAGTGAAGGTGGTTCCATCTACCACTGGCCGGCCAAAAGTGAAGGCGGTAGTGCCGGACACTCCCTCCCAAAAACGTCGACCGGGGGGGGGGTTAACGTCGACTGAGCCTATCCTTCCAGATCGTTGCCGCCAGTGCGCGGAAAATAAGCAAAACAAACACAAAAAAAAGATTACTGAAATCATATTTTTTAGGTATACGGCGGCATATATATATTTTGTATATTGCATATTTATGTTATAACGTACATGTATATTTTTGTTATAACGTACTGCGAAGGAAGTAGGTCGATCCAGGCAGTAACCGCCGAGAACCAGAATTTTGAATAATAAAATAACGATAAATTATGCGAAATTTCCACGTTTATAAATCTTGCGATTGAAGATGTCAGCAATTGCGACTTCATAGGTTTTGAAGGGCAAGTGTTGCTCTAAGAGATAGTGAAAAAATAGGTCGATCTGAGCAGTGGCCGCCGAGAATGAGAATTTTAAAAATTAAGCGACTTCAGGTTACTTAGTGACAGCTGACGTTCAGACTCCTATAAATCTGGAATGTGAAGGTGTGCAATGTTGCGACTTCATAGGTTTTGTGGAGTAAGAATCGCTCTATCGGATCATGCCTTAGCCGTACCGATCCATCAAGATACCGCCGGGATTCAGGCTTTCAAAAAAAAAACAGGTGAAAAACCGCTTTTTGAACTTGAACAGCTCATAACTTCTTAGGAATTGCATGAATTTTGTTGAGACTTCATGGGTTAGATTCTTCTCATCAAGTGCTTTCAGATGATGTATGATATGTGGGGGATTCAATGATTTTTGCGGCTCTAACCCAGGGTGGAGGCTTTTCACCCCAAAGTCTCCACCTCGCCCGTGTTATTGGCCGGAGACCGCCAGTGGAGACTTTGGGGTGAAAAGTCTCCACCCCGGGCATGTGCCGTGAGAGGCGCGAAAACCCCACATATTTTACATCATCTGAAAGCTCTTGATGAGAAGAATCTAATTTATGAAGTAGCAACATAATTCATGCAATTCTTAAGAAGTTATGAGCTGTTGAAGTTCAAAAAGCGGTTTTTCACCTGTTTTTTTAAGAGCCTGAATACCGGCGGTATCTTGATGGATCGGTACGGCTAAGGCATAGTCCGATGAAGCAATTCTTACTCCACAAAATCTATGAAGTCGCAACATTGTACACCTTCAAATTCCAGATTTATAGGAGTCTAGACGTCAGCTGTCACTAAGCAACCTAAAATCGCTTAATTTTTTAAAATTCTCGTTCTCGGCGGCCACTGCTCAGATCGACCTAATTCTTTCACTATCTCTAAAAAAAACACTTGCCCTTCAAAACCTATGAAGTCGCAATTGCTGACATCTTCAACCACCAGATATAACAGTGGAAATATCGCATGATTTTTTCGCTATTTTATCATTCGAAATTCTGGTTCTCGGCGGTTACTGCCTAGATCGACTTACTACATAGATATATGATCTCAATACTTTCTTTTGCATTCATTTTGCTTATTTTCCTTCTTTTAAGCTTCAACAAGAAAATTTTCTCAAACTCAAAAGTGAAGGTAGGCGGAGACTCGGCTCCGACTATCGCACCTCTGAACAAGAGAATAGAAGGTAAACACGGGTAAATTAACGGCATGACTCCAAGAACAAGGCTGGCTTTCGCACCCGAGTGCAATCTCTTTCGCTCGCGCCGCGCGCGCGCTGCCTCATCCTTTGGGTACCCATGACCGATGGTGGCTGGTATGCCCTATATGTTCCGAATAGAAATTTTTATTTTTGAACCGATCCGGACCAAACTTTGCACACACATACACTTCGGGGCCGGGCGGGCGTCACAGGCTACTTTTCGTCATCGATCGATTATTGTTCAAAAAGTTCGAGCTACGGGGCTGGGCGTTGGCACCGGGGGGAGGGTAAGTGAGCATGCTGATTACGAATATATTATTGACAGGGCCGGGCGGAGCCGGGTTTGCCAGCCAGTCATGAGTAAATCTCGTTCGATGCAGGATGCGGGAAGTAATGGAAATCTTTGGATTTGGTTTATCAAGTAAAGAATAGGGGTTTTCGCTCTTATAAATACTTTATCCTGGGGTGAGCGAGAGCACAAGCAAAATGACCAATGAGAACTAGTACGCGGGGGAGGGGAGGGGGGGGGGGGGGATCGAAGAAGGTCCAACGAGAGTTCGTAAAAAAAAATTTTTTTCTTTGGATAAAGGTGGGCTTTGTCTCAGAATCTCCCTTGTTCTAGCTGGTGCCGAGCCTGCCCGTGACTTATGGGCGTCCATCACGCGACGCCATTACTTGGGCAATGCACCAGTGGCTATCAATTCCGCACGATCGACATCTTACCGTCAGCACCCACTGTTTAGCTGCATTCTGATCTGGAGAGCTGTTCCACATTGAAGATAAAATAGCGGGGACGTAAATCACAAAATAAGCCACACTTGCATAAATGTGTCCTGGAAATTGTATCGTAATTGCATAGTTGGAGGGCGATTTCTTACCTACCTTTACCATTGAATCTGAGAAAATGATTAAATGGCAGGATCATATAAACTCTATAAGTGAATATGCATAAGATACAAGTGGCAATGCATACATTTGATGTCACCACCAAAATTAGTGTAGGGTGAACACCAATAGAAAACCACTCGGCCATCCATGATCCAGTGTAACCCATAGTTATTGGGAAGAAAATTACAGGCAGTGTTATAGTGTTGAAAATAAAGTCGCATGTGCTCGAAACACTTTGATAAATAAGCAGGTAGTAGGCGAAACCACCCATTTGTTTTGGAGACTTGTAAAGGATGCAGTATAAGGCAAAAATGTTGAACGACGGAGATAGTATGGACAGGACGCGAGAGAAAAATATGTAGTTTTTCGGGTAAACGTCAAAGTCGTCACATTCAATCATTTTCGCAAGGTTCTGAATATTTTGCAATTTTCCGAATGTCTTGCAGTTAGACACACTATGTGATGGACATAGTATAATCTTTGAAATTATTACAGAAACACTTACGTATTGGGTTCCTGACCAGATATCACCACAGCATGATGTTCAGAAGTGAACATTTTCCTAGAATCAAGTGATGAGTTCAAGATCGTTCTTTTCCAACAAAATCTATCACTGACTTGTCGGAGGAAGTAGTATGGACGACTGGCTGTTGAGTGTATGACTATGTTTGCTTCATAGCCAAAAGCACCTGCACTCGTTGCGAAGGGGTACCGAGTATTTCAATTTGTTCCATGAGTCAGTAACGGTGAACTACGAGCTTTTGCTCATCGATTTAGAGTGATATTCTGTAAATCACGCCTCCAAATCACTGATTGTTCCCCTAAAGTTATTTTTTCTCAGCCCCTAAACCACTAGTGAGTTCGCCAATTTCAAAAATTATATGGGCGGTTCAGCGAACGCAGAGACAAGGCGCTACTGCGTCGCCTCTCTGCTCAAGCGCACCATATCTTTTACCGCCTGCCGTCTCTTCCAAACACGAACTGTCCTAGTCGGACGCGCGGTGTCCAGTCTTTGCGTGCGATGAACCGCCTCTACAGTGGTGGCGATAGCTCAGGACAAACGCTCATCGCACCTTGCTTTTTCTTTGTTACCTCCAGTAAAACATCCGCTAAACATAGTCATACAGCACTCACAGCGTGTCTGTGCCTGGTTGGTAGATTCACATCGCTTGCCTGACTAATGCTGACGGCATGTTTTCTTCTAAGTTTCCAGCATCCAACTGCAGCATTCAATATCACGTGACCTTTTCCTGTATAGTGCACTCACCACGTTCGCACAGTTCCAAAGTAAATCTTCGGTAAGGCTCATTGCAAAGTATCATAGATATCGAGGAGACCAAACCATGTAGAGCAACAGCACCCATAGAGACATTGCCGACACCCAAAATAGCATCGGTAGATAATCAAATCTTCAATAATCTCTCGTAATATACAGTGTCCGTAAAGTATGTATACACTTTTTGATCGTTAATATCTTTCTTCCCAACAAGTCTTTTGCCTTGTTTCAGGTGCCATTTTGTAGAGCTGGCTTCAACTTAGATTTATAGTATGGAGCGAATCACGATCGCTCTTCATTGCTGTAGGATTACGGTAGAAACTTGAAACATATGGTGTCAATGTGGAAAAAGCTGCCGTCTCAAATTTTTTTAGAAAATGTGAAGACTTGTGTAATAAGGTTTTTATAGACGCTGAGTTCAATACTCAACTATTCACAAGATTGCGAAGCTTTCTAAACGCTGTAACCGCACTTTCTAGGAACATTGAAAAAATGGCCGTTACCTCTTACCCAGCATAACTCTTCAATGAAGCATCATAATAAGTTGGAAACTTTACAGTTAGAATCGACAACTCTAATTAGCCTAGTGTAAAAGCTTTCAGGCTGTTTTGTTTCCTTTCTGCGGCAAAATATGGCCTTTCATGGCTTAAAACCCTCTTCAAAGTTCCTACCGTAATCCTACAGTAATGAAGAGAGAAGGGTGATTCGTTCTTCATTGGAAATCTAAGTTGAAGCCAGCTCTACAAAACGGTGCCTGAAGCAAGACAAAAGACTTGTTGGGAAGAAAGATATTAACGATCAAACAGTGTATACATACTTTACGGACACCCTGTAGTAATTACCTTGCATGCTCATTGCTGAAGTCGCTTCAACGAACATGAAACTAAGCAGAGGAAAGACTAGACACAGAGACGGAATTGATACCTCAACACACCATACTACAATACGTTTGTTTGATAACTTCTTGGTATACAGCTTTTGTCCCTACAAGGGAAGGATGCTCGGTCGACTGGCGTTTGCCTTGGGAGGGAAGTTATGTGGAAATTGAGGCAGAAATTTGTACGCGCGGCTACGTTAAAATCATGCAGAACTTTAGTCTGTGAGCTCGAAGTGGACACGATTAGTGCCAGGGCGCTTTATTCAATACCTTCAGTCGAATAAACTCGTACCGTTACTCTTTTCAAGTGCCGGAAAGACATGTACACTTATTTCTACCTTAAAGGCACCGTCCACCCAAAATCTCGAATTCAATGTTTTTGTCTTCTTCAGGCCTTCTGAAAGCCCTGATTCCGAATATAGAGTCGAAAATCCGCGAAACCCCCAAAAATCCCTGTTTCGAGAACCCTCTGCAACAAGCGCAGGCGAGATAAAGCATGCAAGTGGGCGGGGCGACCAGGGTCGCCCCGCCTACTTTGCTACTTCCGGAGCGGATTTCTCGCTCCAGATTTCTCGCTTTCTCGCAGTCTTTTGCGGCGAAGCTTGGAGGTTTGTCTAGTATGGAGGCCCACACTAGTATGCCATCCTAATCTCGCCAGGCTTCATTTTGGGTGGACGGTGCCTTTAACCAAACCCTTGAATTTTTTCCTCAAATTTCTAACTTCCTCCCAGAAGAGCTTTGCAGGTAACAATAGCAGATTTGGAATCATTATTTCGTGCCCTATAAGGAGGTATATATTGCAAATGTGATATATTGCAAATGAAAACTCCACTTTGACCAAGTATTCTCCCTTGTTGGATCATTAGTGTCTTGATGACGGGCACGAAAGGGCAATAAAATACCCATTGAACCACCACAGCAAGTTTTCAGATTCATTGCTATGACACCATTGATTTGACAATTTTACCCTTTTCAAAGGACTTAGTTCTCATTATAGCCCCGAAAATAACGGGGAGTTAACTCAGAGTATTGCAAGGACTGGACTCATTGCGTAGAACCGAGAGAGTTGCCTCCGAGCAGTTGCTTAGACAGCAAGCGAATGGAACAAAAGTGCGCTTGATGACGTGACAATATCGCAACACGCCTGGCTCTGCAAGTGACGACTCACTTGGGTTGCCGTAAATCGCGAACATGGTAATCCTGCTGAATGACTAACCACCTCTCATTTAGTCAAAGTCAGTGTCCAGGCGAATTTGGGCACATGGGTTTTTTGCGTGAAAACTGATGAGGGGATCCTAATAAGGCACTGCTCCAGCGGCAGCGGAATTCGTCCATTCGCGGCTGAGAAATCCACTTCCAGAGCCCTCAGGCTCTGCTCCGTGAACTTACCGCGATAAACTCTGCTCCGCTTAGCGCTGCGTCCGTTGAGATCGGTCATTACTCACTCGCGAGTTGCGGTCACGGTGTCGCGGATTCGCGACTTCTTTTATGGGAGTCCGCCGACGCGTTGCAAAGGGTCCCAAAACGCCGTTCTCGCGCTGACCCGCCTCTCATTTCTATACCTGCCGCAGCTTTCAAAATAGCCACGTAATCGTCACAGCTGTCATCCTGTGAGCGGCGGGGTTCAAGTTCCATCTCCACTCCAGTCGATCGATGCAGCGCCTTCCCCAATTCACGCGTACGTCCTATATCAAACGTGCCAAGGAGGATTGGCCTCCCCGCAGGCGAGGTAACCCCGAGTGCGCTTGCGCCTGACAAATGTCGGCGACACCGCCTCGGGGAGTTTCCGATTTGCTGGCCCTTAGATTTTTAGCATCTGGCTAGTTGTACTCTTCCCTTATGTTTGAGTGTAGGGACTGTGATAAGGATAAATGGTGGGTACTTAATAGCCTGTGATTATTGATTGGTGCGGTGAGCCGCAGCTCGACTGTGACCCCGAGCATTACCGTGTTATGTGTATGTTGTCATCATATATAGTCTAGATTGTTACATCCGTGCGAAGACTGGCACGATGCTAGCTAGTGCCCAATTGTGATGGCATGCCCCAGGTGGCGATGGTGAGAATAGAGTCAACGCCCCAGGCTACAAACGTAGCTAGGTGAGCTGGTAGCTCAGGGCCTCTATCGTGTGGCAGGCTTAACGGCATTCAGTGCAAGCTTAGCTACCGCCCCAAGTGACGTTGTACCCTTCACGAGGAGGACCCGCGGCTCCTACCGCCGATACATGAGAGCCTTATCGCCTCTGATGTTGGGAGCTGGGGCCCAAGCGACACACGGCTCAGGCTTGAAAGGTTTGGAGGTGAATTTCTCAGCCGTGAATACATTTGCTTGCTTTTAAACAAACGCATACGCTCAGATTTGTCTGGACACTGCCACTAAGGCTGTTGCATCAGGTCTCAATAACACTCACTGTATCTCCAAATCTTTTTATATGTTGGTCAGAATGCCGAATAACTCCCTAGACTAAGCTGCAAAATTTGAAGATCCCAGACAAGCGTACAAAAATGGAGCTCAAAATGACAAACTCACTTGTATGTACAGATACCAAAGAAATCGTTTCTGCATGGCTCTGGTCTTCTGCGACAGGTTACCTCTCTGATTCAAAAAATGACTGGACGACCACACTATTGTGATCAGTGTTGGTATCGACACCACCAGCAGAACCGTCGCAGTAATCAGGAATGGTCGACTACTTTCCGGAGTATAAATGTGGAACCTTGGGACATCCAGAACCGAACTGGCACACGAGTACTCCTTGAATCAGTTAGGTTGCAAACTGCTTATCTTGATAATTAGTAGAGGCCTACGTTCACTAGCCATTGTTTAGCTGCATTTTGTTCAGGAGAGCTGTTTGTAAGACTAAGCAAAAGTGTTGGCACATAAAGCAGAAAGAATGCTACACTCACATATATATGCCCTGAAATAGTTAAACTGTAAAAAAGTGGTGACATATTTGCCTTTGGTGCGGATCGTATTCATATAACGGATCCGATCGGGATCCAGGCAGCGCGGCGAGCACAAGTGGCCCAAAGTGAGCACGCCGCATGCAGTTTGTGCTTGTTCGCGGCGGCTTGCGCTGCCTGGATCCCAACTGGATTCGGTCCCGATCGATGGGCAGCTACAGTCTATCATTTCGTATGATCATACGTGTCACTACACACAAATTCCAACTTTGCCATCTTCATTCTGGATTTTTAGGGTAAGTGTTTTCGGTACTTTGGATTCTCAGAGCATATACGAGCGTCTTAGGTGTTTTTTTTTCATGTTTTCTTCCTCTTTACATTTTAGGTACAAATCTACTTATAGTGATGTGAGGATCAAAAATCGGTCAGTTCACTGCGTTTCTGCCACCAGATATTTTAAGGTGGGGACGGCAAAGTGCGCGGTGCGTGCAATGGCACATATGACCATAAGGAATAACTGAACTATGCGTTACCTTCCTAAGAGTATTATGAATTTCCCAACTCGCCTTTCCCATTCATTTTGAGTATATGCTTTTGCGGAAGAATTATAAAAACTCTATATGTAAGTAAGCAAAATATAGACGATGAAACAGAAGCGACTGATGCCACTGACGCAAGCAGGGTGGGATGAACCGGAAGCCAAAGCCACTCAGCCAACCACGATGCGGTGTAACCCATGGTCAACGGGAAGAATATCACTGGTAGCGTTATGGTTGAAAAAATAAGGTCGCATGCCGTCGATATCAATTGGTAGAGAAGGAGGTACCATTTGAAAGAGCCCATTTGTTTGGGGGATTTGTAGAGAATGCAGTACACGACGTAAAAGTTGAACGGCTCCGACACAATAGATAAAATACGCATAAAAGTGATATAATACGTGGGATAGACGTCAAAATCGTCACATTGGATCATCTTGCAACTGTTGGCGATGTATGGAGAAGAATTTGGAGGATGATGGACTAAGGCCTAGAGACCGGTAGAGACTAGCGTTCAATGGGGTTATCTCGAGTAGTTTTGCAGAATTTTGACGACACTGATTGTGCACCTGCTTTTTCAACATTCAATCCAACTTCTAACACTCTTCTGAAACGATTCAAGCGCTTGAACACCTGCCTTCAACAGCTTGCCAGCTCAAGAATCGTGGAATTCGCATGAGACAAATCGACCAAATTACAATACATAGGCTTAGCATTCTTCCATGCCGTTTCCTTGTTTCTTCTTTTTTACTGCAAAGGCAAATTCGAAATTTCTGAGTTAGCTGCAGGTAGTCGTGCACACAACCAAAAATTTCATTCAGGCAACATTCACAATATATACAATACCCCAATACCTTTATGACTTTAGATTGCGAATCCCAATGTGTCGTTAGTCATTTAAGGAACCCACTCAAACTCAGATTTAGGGCAATACTTCAAGAATGAATCTTGAGAACACCTGTTAAGGGAGCATCTGTCCGATTTTTTATTCTGAAATTTTTTTTCAGGAAGAACATTCGTCGCGCTGGGTAAATTGATCTAACTGAAGGCTTCCTTTGGAAATTGGATACATCTCCTTTGAGAAAAAAGTTGAGGACTTCAGAGCATGACTTGTGTGATATTCATGCCCTAAAGTGCTAGATTTTCTAGGTATTAACCTCTGACCGTACAACAAAGTTACTATTGTTATTTGTTCAATCAAAAATTTTAAGACATACAGAAGCACGATAAATCAAGGAATTATTGAAACTTTATTTGATCATACTTTAAAATGCTATTGTGCAGGAATCTGATGACTGGGACGCGTGAAGCTCACCAACAATGGCGTTTTCATGTTCTTTTTAGGCCACCATTCTAAACACAATAGATTTTAGGAGTATAGAGCAAGTTATATATCGACTACACTAATACTCGTCATGTTGGGAAATCAATACAGAAGCACTCTAAACTCACTGTTCATAAGAATTTCCACAACAAATTTTCGATAAGGCTCATTACAAAGGATAAGCGAAAGAGACGATACTGTACCATGAAAGCCCATAAATATAAGCGATAGGTTGCCAAGGACTGCAAACGTATTATAAAGCGATAAAAACTTTGCAAGTAGTCTCGATAAAGTTTATTTCATTCTTGTGGGAAAAACTGAAGCGGGAATGCCATACATTGGGAAGTACCAGAAGCTCACATTTGATCTTTGGTTCCATAGTGATAAACAGTACCACTAGAAAAAACACTGGTAATGCGTACGCAATTCCTGGAACTGACACCTGCAAGATTTCAGCCGATTTTTCAAGGATTAAGAATTAGTTGAGAAAAACAGCTTGCTACCTGCACCAATAGAAAGAAAAAGAATTTTTGTTGAAGTCGCCTGGTTTTCTTCGAAAGATGACTGGCGCCTCGAAGAAAATAGAGCGCACTACCCAAAATGGCCAATCCAATAGGTGCTATCATGACTACAAGCACAAGTACGGTTATCAGTAAACGTTCAAAGCTGTCGGGAGTGTAGATGTGTAGACGAGGAATAGACATGCGTACAACCGGTTCGGCGCAGGAAAACGTCTGAAAATGTAAATTAAAGTAGGATCCGAAATAATTTGACACAAAAAACAGTAGCAAGAGGGCCAAAAATGACGAGGAAGGAAATTTCTCGTTTCTGCTTCACAACTCACAGAAACAATCCATCGCTTCGCTTCTTCTTGATCAGGGGAAATGTTCACAAGGCCAGCTCCCGTTGGGATAGCATAGATAAAGAAGAAGGCAATGCATAAATAAATATGACCTGAAATGTGGAAAATGCTAAAAGGTCTAAGGGCCTTAGTTTTGATGTGGGAAGTGATTGAAGAGCCTCAATCAAGTTACTGCTCAAGCGGCAGTTCAAAAGGTCAATTCGTGGTTGACATACTCATCTCAAAACTCTGGCCCAATACCGTACACCTTCCGAGCCGCCGCCGCCGTCCAATCAGCGTCCTCGGGTATAGTAATGGGCAAGAGTTTGGAGTCGCACTTGCAGATCACGAACAAGACTTACTAGCTGCTTGGGAAATGGTCAATCGAGGCTCTAAGTATGTTGAACCAAAAGTTCGTTCGCACTATTTTCAAAAAATCATAACTTCTTTCTGTCACAACGGTTTTAATCAACTTAAACTCTCTCGAAATGCACAAAGCATGTAGTTTCCAAAAGCATCCAGGAGACTTTCCAATATGCTCAGGTTGCAGAGATAAAAATGAAAGAACGAGATCATCCGAAATTCGCAATTTTTGAGCAAGCCTGCTAAAAATTTGGAATATGTGCGATAAGATCAAGAACAGCCATCATCCTAAGTTTTCTTATATTTTATTACTAACTAAGTCAAGTTTGTGCTGATCGAGCTCTTCTTTCAAAAGTTATGATTTTTTGAAAAAAATGCTGAAAAATCAATTTCCTAAGAATTCTCAAGAAATTGACTTTTCAGCATTTAAAAAAAAAACATAACTTTTGAAAGACGAGCTCGATCAGCACAAACTTGACTCAATTAGTGATAAAATATAAGGAAACTTAGGTTGGTAGCTGTTCTGGATTTTATCACACAGTTTTTGAATTTTGGGATTCTTGCTCAAAAATTCCAAATTTCGGATGTTCTCGTTCTTTCATTTTTATCTCTGCAATTTGAAAATGTTGGGTTCGGTTCAATCTAATATTTACAAAAGAAGCCCAAGTACCCTGATTTGCCTAACCGCCTTTAATTGCTTATTTTCTTATTTATTTATCGTTACGTAGGGAGACCCCACAAAAAAACGATGCTAAGGATCAGCGTAACCATAGAAATTAAAATCGCCAAAAGAAATTCATAATAAAAGTGTTAATAATCTACTATAATTTAGCAGTGACTACGACTTCTCTAGGAATGTTTCATAGAAAAAAATTATTACCATTTTCCTTAGATTTGAGGAAGTGATAATTTGGAATAATAACATATATCCTATAGGCAAATAGACTAAATATACAAGCAGCTACTGCAGGAATAGATGAGATAACGGCTATAAGAGAAGGATTCGCTCCGATGGATAGCCATTCAGCGATGTACGATCCGGTGTAACCCATAGGAAGCGGGAAGAAAATCACAGGCAGTGTTATATTGGCATACATCAAATCAAAAAGTGTCGATGTGATTTGATAGAGGAGTAGATACCATTTGAAGGCACTCATCTGCTGTGTAGATTTCGCTACGATACAGTAGATCGTGAAGAGATTTATAGGGATGGAAAGGAAGGATACGGTATGCATTACGGTGAGATAACGTTGGGGATGCGTATCGATTGGGGCACATTCGATCATCGAGGGTAAATGGGTCTCTTCAGTAAATGTGACATCAGCTTCAACACATTTGCAGCTTGTATATCATTGCTCAGCGAGCTGGTCGTTCAAATTAGTGATTAACACCTGGCTTGGGAGTTTGCAATTTCAGCGAAATACCGAGAAAAGCAAATTTCTTTCTTTCATTACTTTGACAGGGATTTCGGTATTCAAACTGCAAAATTCATCTATAAATGAAATACTAATATGATCTGTATTTTTGAATACAAGATATCGAAGGCACAAGACAAAGACAAGCATGTCTGCATGTTCCAAACTGAAAGAATTGAGCACATAATTGAATCTGCAATATTTCCCGATTGTGTAATTTTCGGATTCTGTGGCCATCTTGAGTGTTTTCAGACTCCGAGGTCTAAAGTTTGATTATCGTGAAGTATTCTGTTTTAGCAATTCACCTATTATTTGCCCCTTCGTCAATAATCGCATTTTATTTTATTTGTTACGCCCGAAAGCCTGCTGTAATCAAACATAAACATCACAGAGTAAGTTGAAGTGAACTAAACGGCAAGAAAAAAGATTTGAATAAAAAAATCCAAGCTGAATCGTATACAACAGTAATGACTCAGTCATCCACTTCTAGTCAAATCTACTTTTGCGCTCAGTGGAAGGACAGAAACATTGAAAGCCACGAACAATGATAACGAAAACAGTTATCCTTTTTTATTCTAGGCGTTCATCATGGAATAAGACTGAAACACAGTGGGCTGGAGAATCAACCAAAATTTCCAGTTTGCTGCCTGAGAAATTTTCTATACGCAAAAGCAAAGTGTTTCTGACTACCTGATCACAGTGTTTTTGTTCGTGTGACTACCCTCTTTTGTTTGTTCATTGGTTTTTTGCATTATCCGACTTAATGTGGAACATTTCTTTTTATCTACGCTGTAGCAGTTAGGAATGGAATGAAAAAACACTGAGATTCAAACTGACATATAGATATTTATTCAAATCCTGGATACATGAATTCACCGTTGAACGGATACGGTCAAAAATGACCGTGTTATTGGCTCTATAATGGCACTCGGATGGGCTTTTCGCTTGTTTCGCAGGCATCCTAGAAGAAATTTACGAGGAAATTGGAGCGTTATTCTGATAATTACTCACTCATCCTCAGCCTTCTGAAAACAAAGTTTCTGTAATTGTCATTACAAAGGAGCAAAGATAACGGAGATGTAAAACCATGAAGTCCCATGCAACACAAAGCGAGGTTACCATTTTCTGGAACGGTAGCTTGTAAAAAAGTATAAAAAGTGTTGATGAATCAACGAACTCACCTTGATCAAGGGAAGCAGCTATTCCAAACAGGTACATCAAAGTCATTATGGGCACCAATAAGGTGGTAAGTGGGATAGAGACCTAAAGGAATATTCGAAGTATTATTTCGGAAACGCATGCGCAGAATCGCTCCGCAACACTTCGTTCATTCTCCGCGTCACAACAATCTTGTTGACATACCTGGATACAGAGATAAAAGATATATCGTCGCTGCATCATTCTTGTTCGCTGCGACAACTGAGGGCTGTTACGAAGAGAATTAAATGACAGGAATATTGCGTAGATTATTATGATAGCTGCGAGGATGCCGAGACTGGTTGCCACCAAGACCAAAGGACGGATGCTGGTAGGAGTGTAAATTTGTAAACGTGGTGCATCTATCACTAGTCGAGCACAAGAATATTCCTATAACCTAATTGAGAAACTAGTGGATGAAAATTTCAGAGGTGCTTTGTGGTAGCGCCCTGGAGGCACCGTTTATTCAGATCTGAATTTGGTAAAATCTGATGTAGAACAATAGCGAGGCATTGATTAAGTAAATGCTCAAGTCTCGCTGCAAAAGGTGTGTTCCGAGGCGAGAAAATCATTGTAGGAGGTAGCAGCAATATCTGCTTTTTAATGAAAATACAAACCTAGGAATTATTGAAACGCTCTTTTTCGATATGCTATCAGTTTTGCGCGGTCTTTTCATTACGGAGTCGAAGTAATACTAAACTCATAAATTCGACTTTCACTTACGAAACCTCGATGAAAAAATGAAGCACGCCTTCTTCAATCTCATGTAGAACAATTAATGTTTACCGAAATTCGTATTTTTCAGATTGTTTATCTTCCAGCAAAATATGACCTTTGTGAGTGAAAACGTTGAGAGTTGATTCAACTAGATGGCATGTTAAACTACTTCTTCACCGTTTCTACCGGAACTACAAACGGATGACCCATTTCTCTAATGGGAGCAGCATGCTCTGAGATGTAACCTTAATGATAGAAGAGACTTATTAGCAGAATAAACGTGATTTTTTCCCTAAAAATTGCTTTTTTTTAAATACAGCATTTTTTCCGTTTGCTTTATCAGCTGTCCGCATCTTTTTTTTCTAGAAGTCCTGCTTAATTTAGCTGAGTTTTTGGCTTTATAGATCTTTTTGCGGCGAATTAGAGCTATTTTGCTGCTCGAATCATACTTAAAATGATCTTTTTTCTTTCCATCAGTTCCATTTTGAGCCTCGCAGCTCCCTTCTAACACATTCTGACGCTGAGCCAGCTTCGATGTTCTCAGGTATAGTTTTCTGACATTTCTTGGTTTACGCCAAAAAGGTGCAATGAGTGGGCGGAGCTTAGCTTAGCGCTGTATCCTAAGGAGCATCTGGAATCAGCGAGCTCGCTTGCCTAATTATACCCCGCAGACAAGTACCTTTGAGGTGCTAGATATCTCGGGTAAGTAAGTTCCGTTCCCCATTTTCGACAGTTTACGGCTTATTACCTTTACTCCATCCAAGTTGGTGGGAGTGACGCCGCAGGGCGTCCACCTTCTGGAGCAAGTTTTTTCACTTCGGAATACACCTTTCGCAGCGGGATTTGGGCAGTTTACTCAGCGAGCGGCCTCATTAACGTACCGCATCAAAATCTCTGCATCAGATGTGAGCGCCATTGAGTAACGAAAGTTAAAATTGCTATGGAACCACGCCGCCTCTTCGAACGCATTTTTGAGTTCTCTGCGTCAGTAGCGCCACTTTACCTGAAGCATCCATTCTCGGGCTTCCCTTTGGTCGGGTAAGATAACCACCAAACCGGAAGCAGTCGGAATGCAGTAGATCAAGAGAAGCGTGGTGCTAGTGATAATTATCCCTGAGACAAAGTTATCTTGAGATGAAGCACTGCATTCCTTAGGTAGAATTCACCTCTCTTATTCATTTTGAGCATATGGTAATGGGGAAGAAGCACATAACATCGATAAATGAAAAGATATAAACAGGTAACGGTGAGCAGGGGTATACAAGAAATAAATAGAATAAGGGCAACATGCCCGTTGAGCGAAATCAATCTAGCCAGCAGGGAATCGGCGTAACCCATTGGAATGGGAAAGAATACCACTGGTACTATGAGAATGGTAAATACGAAGTCAAATACACACGAAGATAGTTGATACATCAGAAGCCACCATTTATAGAAACCCATTTGCTTCGTGGATTTTCTTGTGATGCAGTAGATAGCAAAGGCGTTTAGGGGTGGAGTGACTATTGACAGACTGGCCATAAAGGATCTGTACACGACTGGGTGAGGATCGAAGTCATCACATTGAATCATCACATACAAGATGATCTCTGCGTTTTCTAGCAAATGTTCATGTCAAATGATCCTTAAAGCACCTGTTTCAATCAACGGCTGCAAAGCCTACGCAGAACTACTCTCGAAAGAATCACATTTACGTAAGGTCTAGCAACGCTAGTAGGATCAATTATTCTCCAAAAGTAAGTGCCAGATTAGTGAGGGGACAGTGACAAGTCCATACTGATTGAGTTCATTTAGCTTGCAGGTTTTGAGCAAGAGAAAGGAGTTCGCGAACTCTATTCTTACTCTTAGACTCACTCCCGCGGATTGTGCCGTTTTCATTTTTGCGTTCGGATCTGAACCCTAAGTTTTCTTTCATTCAGGAAGTACTCAATCTTCCTTCAAAGGTCATAAATTTCCGCACAATGACCGCTGTCAGGGAATCTGCGTAATCTTGACAGAGTCCAAAACAACCCCTTTGTTCGATCTATTATATCTATGCTAATGTCTTTCGCCAATCTTTTAATACCATCAGTAGAGCTGGCCTCAAGTTAGATTCGAAGAGATTCATCAATCTCTCTTTGTTATTCTAGCATTACGGTAGCAACTTTGAAGATTGCGCATCACTGGGGAAATTTCCGCTTAAAAAAGTATTCAAAAAAGCTGAAAATCTTGTTATTATGTAAATTTTTCATTTCTACATGTAAAGTAACAAACGCCATTATAGACCACTGTTCAAAAGTTACATCAGGGGTCCTCATAAATAGTCAAAAACCTGATAAAATCGTATAAATTGCTTGATATATCCACACAGAGCTATTTGCTGAAAACAGCCCTCTGAGAACCCAACTAGAAAGATTTTTAGGTTTTTGCTAATTTTGTAGAATTGAGCTAACTTGCAGGCACGTCATATAAGTTACTATCGTACTTCTACAGTTAAGAGCGATCAGTATGTTGCTATGCTGTAAATCTGAGTTGTTAGCTCTACGGAATGGTACTTAAAGATTAAAAAAAGAACGAAAAAAAACGAAGACGAAAGCAAAACCTATTACGGAGATTTCATAGACCAGATAAAAGAACTTTTTTAGGGACACTCTGAATTGCTACTACACCGACTCTTCTGCTTTGAGAGATTATAGGGAAAGTCTTTTTAGCATTTTTTTCGCACCGAAAGTTCTCTTCAAACCCTCCTCTCTATTGCCCATAAATTTAGCTCTCTTTTTTTCAAATACCTTAAACTAATGAAAACATGCTTTCGTGAACGCAGCGCTCATCATCTATACCACTATTCACTGCATTAAAAAAACAAACTTTTTGCTGGTTTCCTTCCACTTCCTCGCAATATTTTTTGTTTTCCCATGGAACCTGTATTAATCGCTTATTAGCACCAATCATTGCGCGTGTCCTCTCAGAGTATAATCCAATTTAGAGTTCATGGCGTGTAGGCGAGTGTGTCTGATCTGTGTTTACCTAGGCGATGTCGGCGAGTCTTCTCGACGCCGCTGCCAGAGGTGTCGGCCCGACAGTGCCGTTACGCAACCCGAACGTCGATCCGAATAGCGCTGTCCTCAGCGGGTTATGCAAGTTCGGGTAAGCTGAGCTCGGCTTCTGAGACCTGAGCCGTCACGCGATCGACAGCTGCGCAGCACTTTGCGCTACTTCTACTTTTTTCGCTGCGGCTTTGTTATTGTAATAGGTATCCTTGCGACAGAGGTAGCGCTATAACTAGAACGGACTCCAACAAAAGGTAAATGAGGTCTGCCTATTTGTTCCAGCGTTAATGTAACTAAACCAAAGGAAAAGTTCATTTGATTTTTGAAATCAATAGTTTTCGCGTACTTCAATCTCCACTTCAACACGAAAATAATATAATGTAATTCTTGAAAATCAAACACACAGTCATGCGAAAAGGTCCAAAAAACTTGATGCATTATCATTTCGTTTGGGTACCAAAAATTGCTGATTCAACCAGCCCTGCATCTGGTTTGATAGGGTAACTCTAATTCGACATCGATGATAGCCAAAGATGTTCAAAAGTGCTTTGGTATTGAAAACACAGCGTATATTGACCCAACGACATTTTAATTCCTTTGAAAAAATTGAAGTTGAATTTTTATAAAACACAACCACTTTTCATCTTTCCCTTAAATTTGCACACTAGACCGTATTTTACCCAATAAAAATTAACAGCACTTTTGCAAGTAATGCACTCTCTTTGCAGAGTAAATAAATTAATAAATAAAAGTATTTTGCAAAGGTGCCAAATTCATTTGCAGATGGATGTAGATTGATGATTATACTGTTTTCGCAATTTGAACTGCTGAATTTGAATTTTCAAGCAGTTTTAGGCAGAAACCGTTCAAAAAGAAGAGGAATAGTAATGACACTTAATTTTTACTATGACGAACTAGTCATGAGATTTGAGATAAAAGAAGTCTATCCTTTGTGAACCCATTTTGAACTTTCATGCAAGCTCTATAGTCTTTCAAACCTTATAAAATCCTACAATTACATTAGCGCCAAGAGCAAAAGATTTTACTTGACAATTACTGTGGAAATTGCCGCCAACCTCTCTATTATTGCCCTCGACATCCACGAAGTCTCTAAATACTGCTATAACACTTACACGCATATCACGTGAGTGTGAGAGTAATTTTCATAGAGGCGACTATCCTTGGGTAACGCACCGAACACGGGCATATGGTGGCCAGCCAAATTTTGCATTCTCTTTACGGCGTGTTCTAAGGGCACGCCAATCGACCGTATACTTGAAGGGGCACTCACTCGACTCGCTCGGCAGGCACGGTTCTCGCCTCGAGCTAGCCGAATACAGCCGCCGTGTTCCGCTCCTCTTTGAGAAGAGTCGGCTTTTATGGCCCTTGCATTTTCGCCTGAGGGGAGCGATCGTTGCATCCAATAATTTAGGCTTCTCTTACTAGAAAATAATAAAAACTAAGCCGGTCAAATCAGTAAAGAAGATCTCTTTCTTATAGTTAGCGATCTGAACCGTAAAAGTACTGTAAAGATGTTTTTGCTGACAAACCGCGGCACAAGTGTAAACTCCTACGCTCAGTTTGCTTCGAAATCTCTGTCTCTACAGTAATGTCAAGTGAGCAAAATACTATTTAATTCTTCGTCGGAAAAGCTGGAGCAGCAGCTGGGCATGAATTCGCCTGCCAATATAAGACTGTACCTCTTTACAAGTTGAAATGTAGATTCTGAATCAATGAAAATTTAGCTTAAAAATATAATTCAGGAGTTTCATATCCAAGTGAAATCAAGAATTTGTTGATTTTGTCCTTTAATTTTATTTCAAGTTAGCCATAATGTTGTCATCAAGTGTTAGGTGAGAGGCGTTTTTGAATATGGATATTTGCTAAAATATGATAAACTTACCAGTTACCAGCCAGAACTTACCAGCTATGAGATTAGAGGACCAGAAATTACAGTGTTGGTTAATATGATAATATTACTCTTGGTGATAAGTTTGTACCTGTGGTATCTTGACAAAAAAGTAAAATGAGGTTGGATTTGACTGCTGTTATACAAGGTGTCTCAAAAAAATGTATCGAACGTTTGATCGTTAATATCTCTTTTCCCAAGAGGTCTTTTGTTTACCTTTAAGCACCATTTTGTAGAGCTAGCTTCAACTTAGATTTGCATTATAGAACGAATCACTCATCTCTCTTCATTACTGTAGGATTACGGTGGAAACTTTGAAGAGAGTTTTAAGCAATAAAAGGCCATATTTGCCCAAGAAAGGAAACAAAGCAGCCTGAAACCTTTTACACTAGGCTACGGAGTTGCTGATTATAACTGTAAAGTTCCCAATTTATTATGATGCTTCATTGAAGAGTTATGCCAGGTAAGAGGTAGCGTAGTATTTTTTCAATGTTCCTAAAAAGTGCAGTTACACCGTTTAGAAAGCTACGTAATCTTGTGAATAGTTAAGTATTAAACTCAGCGCCCATAAAAACCCCAATACACAAGTTTTCACATTTTTTGAAAAATTTTGAAATGGCAGCTTTTTCCACATTGACAGCATATGTTTCAAGTTTCTACCGTAATCCTACAGTAATGAAGAGAGATGGGTGATTCGTTCTACAATGCAAATCTAAGTTGAAGCCAGCTCTACAAGACGGTACCTGATGCAAGGCAAAAGACTTCTTGGGAAGAGAGATATCAATGATCAAACGTTCGATACATTTTTTTGGGACACCCTGTATACTAGGGCTTTTTATCGTTTGACTTTCCCCTCTCAATGGATGCTAATTCTTTTTTTTTGGAAGTAGTACCAGTTTTTGCTTGTAAACTTCTTGGAACAACTGAACATTCAATGAGTGCTATTTTTTATGCATTGCAATTTGATTTGTGTCACGGATCATGCAGTCTGCAAATGAGTACCATATACGACGAGAACCGCCCATATTTGCCCATAAACCTTCATTCTCAATTTTATCTATGTTTCAATAGGGTTGTCTTTCTTTTCGCAAATCTCTTATGTAACATAGAAGTTGGAAAATCCCATAAATCAAACTTTTTTGGTCTCCAGTGCGATTTACAGCCACCGTTGCGTGAAAGGGGCGTGTCTACCGTACGCCTGTGCAACAGACTCGAAGAGGCGGGACTTTTGCATCACTAGCTTGTGCACAGCTGCTTAGCAAGCTCTTTTACACTGGTTGTATCTCTTCGTTGTCTAAAAGAGCTCCTTTAAAACATCAATTCAGCTATTTCATTGTTTACAAAAATTATGACTCGTCAATCTTCATCATCTTCATCTCCTGACGAGCATCGTCGTCTTCGCTCTACTCTCAAGGAGAAGAGGAGAAATATTGAGATCAATGATGCTTTTGAGAATTTGCAGAGGTTTGTTATCAGGTTATCAAACCTTTCCCAATTCATAAAATAGTATTTGTTGTTGACTCCAAGGTAATTATTTTCAGACAGCTGCCTCATGTGCCAGCCTCAACTCGTCTTCCTAAGATTAAGACACTACGATTGGCTCTAAAGTACATCGAACATCTGAGCACTATTCTTAATGGAGATAAACAGGTACAAGCTCTATTTCTTTTTAATCTGCGCAAAATAGGAACTTTGATTTTATACTATTTGACTGATTTGCTGTTCCAATTATAATGCTGAGCTCATTGTGTAAATTACTATGTACACGGTACATTCTTGATAACACCCTTACAATATGATTCTCTGTTGATTCCAGGTTATGTCCGACTATCTGGCGGGTCCACGACCTTTGTGTATCGAGGACTTCGCTGCTGTTGCCATGCAAGAGATGCAGGTGAGCCGCATGCTAGAAAAAAACATGAACAGCAATTCTTTTACAGAACAGAATTGATTTTTGTAGAAAAAATTTTTTGATATCAGAGAAAATTTCAAGTTTATAAACTTGAAAATGGTCAAGGGTAAATGTATTGGCCGTATACCATAAGCAGCGATTGCGTATCGAATTGGACTATCTCCAAGAAATTACATGGAGCTATTAGAAAGAAAAATGCTCATGCAAAATGTAGTTTTTTTATTAGGAGTTATATTAAAAATTCTGTGTACATGTTAGGCCATAACTCACATATAAGTGGCATCTCTCAATGAGCAGCATTTACCAGCATTTGTTATGTCTCAAAATAAGCTTGCGAATTTTGTTCATTTTTTTTGTGCTAATAGATTCCAATGATTAATGCTTAATTCGCTACAGCTTACTTATCGATTTACTTATTTTTGAACTTTCGGAGGGCTCGAAAAAGAATTGAACAACCTTGCAGCCAACTCGTCGTGAAGGGTGCAGAACAATATATGAAGTACCAGGGTGAACTAGCTAACACAGCCAAAAAACCTGGAATCACTAAGATATTCATAATATCACTAAGATATTTTGAACGTAACCATAATATAGTGAAGAAAGAGCAGGATATACTCAAAAATGACATTCATTTGACTTTCGTACAGCTGTATTGGAGTTCTCAATTGACTTGTAGTTCTTCCAGATCCGTAACAGCTACACTGAACGAGCTCGAGAAGAAGAAAATCTCAATAACAGTAGCGGAAATAGCCGTGTAACATCAACGTCACCTCGACCAGAGCTACCTACAACACCCGATTCGCCCCCTTACCGTACCTCTCACCACATGGCCCCCCTCCCTTCTGTGTATCTCCAGCCTCCTGGCTATCCTTTCTATCAGCATCAGGGCTTCTACTAAGCAATAGGTTTTTTCTTGAATGTTTTCTCCTTCTTTGAGTGCCTTTTCTCAGGAAAGTGAACGCTTGTCTGATCTCAGTTTCACTTCGAAAATTGTTGTGCCATCAAGTGCCTTAATCTTGCCAAGATGTAAAAATAAAAATTATGTAATAAACATGTACTTGATATCTATCTCTGTGCAGTGGCTATCTCAAGTATAAACAAAGAAAGTTGAAACGACTGGTACTTGCGATAAACAATGGGATTAACCGGGTGAACGGGCTGGAGGTCGGGTGGCAATGCTGGAGTATACATAACCATGTATGGGGTCGTAAAGCACGTAAGTAGCAGTGCAATTGCGCAACAATGTACACCAGTGATATTGTAAATAAACAAAAACTTACGGAAGAGTAATGCTTATTTTGTTGTTGGATGTCTGATAATCGAATAAAGTTCTTAAAGTGGATCACTAAAACGCTCTTACCCTGAAATCTTGTAGATGCATAAATCTACACATGAGTCCGCTTTCTTCAAGGGGAGAGAAAAAAAAGATGCATGCTTGCTCTGCCTTTTCAGTAATCAAAATTGACTCTCCGAAATTAAAAAACATTTCTTCAGCTTTCTATTTATCATATAACTCATAGCCTGAATACCATAAATAGGTATGCTATCTGGAGAAAGTTGCATTCCTTCAAGTTATGTACTTTCAAAAAACACTGAAAAAGACTTTTTTCTTGTAATAACTTCGTGCATCGCGTTTTCCCAAGATTTACATCTTCAGAAGCTTATAATTTTACACATGAAAAACTATGCAATTGAATTTTAAGCCATACTACAGGCAGACTTAGCCAAATATTTTATGGTACATACCTTGGTTCCGTGGATGTAATAGGCAGAAATTCTTCTCATCAATTAGTCCCTTCTTAATAAATTCCCCAAAATAATATTGGAGGGATTCGGAATGTTCATGAAAGGTACAGCGATTTTTGTTCCCAAAAGAGCATCCAGAGCCTTTTTTTTCAAGAAGAGATTTTGGCAGAAGAAGCTGAAGATCTCACATTTTCCATAAAGCAGCAAATTGACTTGCAAAAAGCACAGGTCATACCAAAGGAAAACACTTCTTCGCATCGAAATTTATGAACATTTTATTTTTGGTAAGTTTATCCCTACCCGGATTTATTTTTCTTCCATTTTTTCACTAAATATTCCCGAAAAATTCGTTCGCAAGAAAAAAGGTAATTCGGCGCGAGGAGTTTTACAAATCATGCAAACTGTTACGGAAAGCATAACTTTGCTTTATCTGATGACTATGTTTATTATCTCTTAGTCATAAAAAAATCATATGGAAAATGGAATTAAGGAACAATAAGAAAATGAGAAAATGTCGCGACCGTGGTTATTTTTTACAATGTAAGTTTCCAGTCTTTATAGAATATTGTACAGACGAAGTAAAGTGTATGCAATGCGGCTTACTGTTAGATCATTTTCTAGTTGTTGTCTAACAGTAATATTCTGGCATCCAGTCAAAATTGAATGAATAAGTTCAAAAACGTTGGATCTACCAAGTAACGAGACTGTTACTGGTTTGCCAGTGATCATATTGCAAAGAATAAAACCTGCATAATCCCCAAGATGGTTTCGAAGAAGTCGCATACCCTCGACGTCAATCCCTAAGTTACATTTGCAAAGTGGAGTGTTGTGGTGCGGCCGCCTCGCTTTGGGCTTGCGCCACCTTGCGAGCGCATGAGTTGGCATGGCGTGGCAACATGAGCAACGAAGAAACGTTGTTCTTGTCGCCACGTTTAAACATGTTGTGGCGCCACGTTGTTTTTAGCGCCACATCACGTCTAAACGATGCCCCAGCAACGTGGCGTGAGCGCAAAGCGAGGCGACTGCATCACACCACTCCACTTTGCAAATGTAACTTAGGGATTGACGTCGAGGGTACACACGCCATCAGTTAGTGTCTAGTTGTATTGAGATTATAAAGTCATATGAATATTTCTCGAGAATAAGACATTTTAGCTCACTAGGGAACGGAGTCAACATAATACTTGCTATAGTACCGCTATCCACATCCCAGAACAGATTTCCCAGATTCGTATGAAGATGGAGTCTTGCCAACTCAAAACGTGGCAGTTTTTGAGCGGGAAGGTGCAAAAAGCAGTTCCATGACGTGGAGGTTTGACAAGTTTGTCCTCATAATCAGGAAAAGTCCGCAACACTGATTTTGTCTCTTTTGGGAAGAGACCGAATAGCTTATTTCAAACTAAAAGTCACTTCGCATTTCGTCTTGATGTTATGTGATAATTTCGGTTTGTTCATCATTCCAGCAGATCCTGCACATCAAAGAGTTCAATTATCACCTTTCAACAGCATTGGAAGGCTGGTGAGATTTTAAGATACTGTATCCATTTCGTCGGTGCCATTGCAGACGAGTGCGGACGCGCCACGTTTTCGCGAGTTTGATTCCGCATTTGGCGTCGTTCCCGCATTTCCTCAACTTTTCGTTTTTGGTTCTACCTCATAATGGTTTGCACCGAGAGTTCTGGAGGCTTGTTCTTGTTTGTTAAGTGTGCTATAACTGGGTATGTTTTGTCTCTGATATACTCTTAAACTTTCGACGAAATGTTTGCATATTTTGGTTCTCGTCGTATAGTGCTGCTGATTTCATTATTTGTGCTTAATCATCGTATTAGCTTTATTCAGGTATTAAACATGGCTGTACAGCAGCATGGTAAGACGAGGATAGCATATTATTACGATGGTGAGTCTCAACCTTTAACGCTTATTTGACTTAGAAGATCACGAAGCATTAATGCAAGCCTTCTGACACAGATAGAAGAAACTTGCGCTGAGTTTGAGCCTTCGTTATATGTCAAAAACTTTTCAATGCTTTTCAATGCTGTTTTTGAGTGACTTCTTGCATATCGTAGAGCAAAATTATATCATTTACAATGTCATTCATCTGATGTTTCTCAGTAAGCTGCGGAGCTTCCATCCACTTTGTCATGTAATCAAAGCAAGTAGGTGTGCAGATCTCTGTAGTTTAATATCATTTTCTCTGATGAAAACTATAAAAATTTTGAATGGATGATGAAGCATTTGTGCTTGTTTGAGTAATCACAGTGTGTGCAAAAACGTTTCTCGTAGTTATAGATGGCTAAGGTCAGCACAGTTTTCAGAGCAGTTGGGGTAAAACGTCAAATCTCTTATTCTAGGTGACGTTGGTAACTACTACTATGGCCAAGGGCACCCAATGAAGCCGCATCGTATACGCATGACTCATAACTTGTTACTCAATTACGGTATCTATAGGAAATTGGAAGTTTATGTGAGTTCATTCTGGGTTTTCTACTCATTCCTAGTCAGGTGAACACGCTCTTTCTAGCGACCTACCCCAGCAACGTTTGAGGAGATGACGAAGTACCACTCAGACGATTATATGATGTTTCTAAAGAATATTCGACCAGATAACATTTCTGATTACACTAAGCAGATGCAACGTTTCAACGTGGGAGAGGTGTGTTTTGGTCATTTTTTTTTTGATAGCCTTTCTTGTAGATTTGTTAAATTCAAAAACAGGACAACTTCCAGGATTGCCCCGTATTTGATGGGGTATTTGAATTCTGCCAGCTGTCTTGTGGAGGCTCTTTAGGTTGGTGTGGTCTTAGTTTTTCACTATGTGGCCCAAGTCATCTTATACAGCCGCTGCAACAAAGTTGAATCGCAAACATGCTGATATTGCTATCAATTGGATGGGTGGTTTGCATCATGCAAAGAAGAGTGAAGCAAGTGGTTTCTGCTACAGTAATGATATCGTTTTGGCTATCTTGGAGCTGCTCAAGCACCATCGGGTACGCATTATTTGCATAATTCTTTCAATGGGAGAATCTTTGTTTTCAGCGAGTGCTTTACGTGGACATAGATATACATCATGGAGATGGCGTGGAAGAAGCTTTCTATACAACGGACAGGGTCATGACTGTATCGTTCCACAAGTATGGTGAATACTTCCCGGGCACAGGTGATTTGAAAGTGAGTATATTGTTGGATGCAGTATGAGAATTCTTTCGCAACAAACTGTTGGCTACATAGAGAGTTGTGAGCGTGCGTTCACATTTATACGTTACTGTTCACAAAGCATAACAGTTGTTTTCCTTTACTTATCACCTTCTAAAGTGCGTTTATTGCAATCGTATGTCATTAGTGCATTTTGAGGACATCGGTGCTGAGAAAGGGAAATACTACGCACTCAACTTCCCCCTTCGTGATGGAATAGATGACGAAGCCTATGAGGTAAATAATTGTTTGACATGATACGACTCTGTAATTGTTTGGTACTTCAGCGAATTTTCCGGCCGGTGATACAGAAGGTTATGGAAAGCTTCCAACCATGTGCAATTGTGCTACAGTGTGGCGCTGATTCTCTCACCGGAGATCGTCTTGGTTGTTTTAACCTAACTTTGAAAGGTAAGTAAATTGCCAGAGAAGCTCGTGCTATCAACCATCCTCTTTTATCGCTGTTTTCAGGCCATGGCAAATGTGTGGCATTTCTGAAAAAGTTTGGTATCCCTCTGATGCTCGTCGGTGGAGGTGGATACACCATTCGCAATGTATCGAGATGTTGGACTTATGAAACATCTGTAGCTGTAGATACTGAAATCGCTAATGGTGAGTTTCTAGGTAAACCCTGGAATGTGGAGTTGTCAAGAATGTTTTCAGAGTTGCCTTACAATGACTATTTCGAGTATTTTGGACCAGACTTCAAACTCCACATCGAGAAATCTAACATGACGAATCAGAACACTCAGGATTACTTGGAGAAGACAATGGTTTGTTGCAGCCTTGAGGATAATTAATAGACTGGAATTCATATCTTCAGACGCGATTGTTCGAGAATCTTCGAGAGTTACCATATGCGCCTTCAGTACAGATGCAGCCTATTCCTCCAGACACTATATATGTTCCGGAAAAGTCGTTACTGGAAGACCATACTAATCCTGACGTATGTTCTTTTTTAACATTCTTGGTGATACCTCAGTTGTAGTATTTGAAAAGGCCGCATTTCGCGGAGCAATCCATTATAGCAGACAGAACATCGGATACAGTGGGGAAACAACTATTTAGTTAGCCTTACAACTTCTCCGTTACGTTTAAGTCGTCATCTATCCTGTTCAGGTAACTGACAACTTGAATGTGCCGAAAAGGTTGTAGAAACCTTTCCTCACTGTATCCGATGCTTCTGTCTCACATCGCTTCCGAAATATCGTCTGTCTGACTGCTTACTTTTTGAAATACTCACTAGCCATGTTTTTCATCTAGGTGCGAAATCCATCTGCAATTTACGATCGCGCTGTAGAACACGAGAGTGAGTTCTTCGATGGCGGCAAAGAAGGAGCCAAGGACGCACAGGTGATTTCTTTTATTGGATTTTCGAACCTTTTTCTTACACCTCATACTTTAGAGTCACAAGCGTCGTGCTGATAGTCCGATCAATCCCGCGGATGATAAAAAGCCAAAAACTGAAGATGATGCTGGTGCACCTCCCATCTAGTTCTTCGTGCACATTGCATAATCCTGCCCATATTGGAGCAACATAGAGAAGAGTAGTCAGCAGTATTTTCACCGCTCACTTGAGTCGTCTGAAGTGAAGCTGCAAGATTTACACGGTGTTGTTGTGAAGGATAAGGATAATTTGTTGATCTTCCTGCCGAATGCATGTGTATATCTGTTTATGTGTAATTTATGAACTGATCTTCGAATATACGGTTTCATGTTCTCCTTTTCTCTTCATTTACCCTCTAACTCCTTTATCTATGTTATGTCTAATGCATGTAGCTAGATTTTTTCTATTCTTATATTACTGTTTGTGTAAATTGTGGAAGTTATTTTTTGTACAATAGACGCATCAAAGGAACCTCTTATGTTATGTAAACGGTTGATTCCAGAGTATCTTTCGTCTCTTCTCGCCTTTCTTCAGTCGTTTACCGCTAATGTTTAGATGGCAGAAGGTGATGCTATAAGCGCTAATGATTTCTACGTAAGATACTACGTAGGCCACAAGGGTAAGTTCGGCCATGAATTCCTGGAGTTCGAATTCCGACCAAATGGACAACTGAGATATGCCAACAATTCCAACTACAAGAACGACACAATTATCCGAAAAGAGGTAGGAAGTCTTTCTTGACCGCTATTTTTGTTCATACAAACATTTCTTTTAGGCTTTTATCTCGCCCGCCGTTCTTCAGGAGCTGAAAAGGATTGTTGAAGATTCGGAAATCATGCAGGTTGGTGTTTTCAATAGTATTTGTTTTTCGACGTTTATCAGAAGGGTGTGGTTTTTAGGAAGATGACGCAAACTGGCCAGAGCCGGATAAAGTGGGTCGACAGGAGCTTGAGATTTTGATGAACAATGAGCATATTTCGTTCACTACTGGGAAGATTGGATCGCTCGCTGATGTAAACAATAGCAAGGTGGGGAAACTATGAGAACATTAAGAAGATCTAACGCAATGCGTTAATTTTGAAAACAGTGCTGCCTCAATTTTCTTGATTGAGAGTTCCCGATCTGATAAATTAGCTCTCACTGCTTTCAGGACCCTGATGGCTTGCGTTCATTCTACTACCTTGTACAGGATCTAAAATGTTTAGTATTTTCATTGATTGGTCTTCATTTCAAAATCAAGCCTATCTAGTTTTTTTTTCTTTTCGAGCATATACGCTTAAGCTTTGTGTTGGCATAACGCTGTAAGTTATTCCTTTGTATTCATACTCTTGTTTCGTCCTTCTGTTACTGTTAAATTGTACCAAGGTTGCTCGTGCTTTTTGTTATTAATAAATATTTTGCGATTAAAATGTACACGACAAATTTATTGATTGTTATACTCTACAGGCAAAAACTTGGGGATGATGTTTTTACAGCACTGGGCGATTTGCAAAATTCTCGAGATGAAAACTGATGCATAGTGAGTTTCGGTTTTCGTCTAGCGACGGTCACAGTATTTGGCAATGTATTCACGTGCACGATGTGTGAACTGTTCACGATTTGTCGACCATAACTGTGCCGCTTGCATGTTGAGTGCATCGTCGAAGTCAATCAGATCGGTGAATAATGAAGACAACCCGTGAATCACCTGTAAGAAACCTGGTAATTTTGATAAGCTATTGAGGAGGATTTTCAGATTATACAGTGTGTGCCCTGTGTTCGCCCTAAAAATTATCGAAGCATAAATTGTGAGGATTAATCTAGGGATTGTATCTCAGCGTTCTTCCCACAAGTACTACCGCTCCACATGCCTCTCGCGCATTCTCACCGCCGCTCCCCGCCTTGCCTTTACAGAAACGTTCAGACCAGTGCTCCGGCCCAATGCATTAAACCAGCGGCTGTGTTGCGGGCTTCTATGGAAAAAAATATATTACACAAACTATATGTTCCATGAGGTCTTTAAAAGCAATATTTTATGGAGAGTATGAAGAAACAAGAAAAAACCTCGGTTAGGTTCCTAGTCGGTCGCCATCCAAAAGCGTCCAATGAGTTTTCGCGAAGGATTGAAAGACAGATACTGCCATCTTCGTTGATATTTGGATGAAAAACTCGAGTCAAACATTTCACCGTCGGCGGCTGAAACAAAACTCCAGCTGAGTCAATGAGATGTGTAAGAAATGTTGAACTATAGCTTATTACTCACAACATTGTTGTATTCTGGAGGTACGGAGATTGAGAATTTGAAGACACCTCCCCGATAAATACCTTCTTGAGGGCAAACAGTCAGAACCTAAATTTATAAGTTCATGGAAGAGCACCTTGGCGTTAGTTGCGATAGCTTTCGAAGCGTTCAAACAATGCAAAACTAGTTTTTTACAGTGCGATGAGATGAGATTAGTTCAGTTATTTATGGTTTTTAAAAAGCCAGAAGAACAACCTCCTAACTCTGCGCATGGAAAATTTTTCTAACTAATCTTTTACAAAAATGTTATCATCCACTTTGCAAGTCAAAAGCACACAAACCATTTCATGAAGCTGCGACGTTGACGGGAAAGACAATTTGCATACATTTTGATTCTTCAGATTCGCTTCCAAGTCCTTGATCTCTAGAAATTGATAGCAATGAGTGCGAAGTGAGTGTCAATGCTGAATCCAGTGCTGGATTTAACAAACGCGTCTATTGAACAAACAGGTATAAAAACGATAACAATCAATAACTATCAAAAGACTCCGACCACAAAGTGCCCGAAAAGCTCCATCTCAGAAACATACGACCTGCTTTAATGCTTTCTCATTTGCTACGTGTAAAATATGATAATAATAAAACCTACCTTGAGATAAAAGCTTCTCTCGGATTGCGATCCTTGTCTCCATATACTTTTTATTGTCATCGATTCCATTGATCCGCTTTTGAAGATTCAGCATTTCGACACACTCGTTGGCAAGGTTATATCCTACACTCTACAGCTTCGATCAAAAAATCAGCAAAATTTACATTTAGGTGAGCAGCGCACTACAGAACAATATGATGTGATTAAAATTTGGACAAAGACCGGGAAAGCCGCATAAGCGCTCCGATTCTGTTAGATATGAGTCACTAAATACCACAATTAAGCTTAAATCTGCTTTGAGTTCCATAAAAACGAACTTTTATGGAAAAGACTAGAACACGAGCACTTCAGCGCGGAGGGACCGTAGATTCGCCCGCAGGAACGATTACTTTTGGATTGGAGCAGGAATCCTCCGTAGAGCACATTATCCTTCCAACGCTGAGTTTGAGGATGCGCTTGCCAAATAACTCAATGTTGGGTCTCGCAACTCTATTACTGCAACTCTAATCTCCGTATCAAGCTTGTCGAGCCACTTTCTCTGGTCGTGATATGCACTGACTTATATCGGTGAAGCTTTTGCGCTCGGATGTACTCAATTACGGCTAACACTTTTTTTGCAGACGCTCTTGCCGCGTCTGTCATTTGAGCGGACTTCTTCTAGTGCCATGCTTGGCAACAGAAATCTATCCGAGAATGTTTGAATTGGCAACAAATTTGTGCAAGTTGTGTACATTATCAAACTATCTTCCAGTAAACGTGGAACAAAGACTGATTTCATGAGGGCATCGCAGTTCAATGCATAAAGTAAAGCATGCGGAATAAAAAATACATCGCAGCGCCTTATTGCTCCGAAAAGGAGAACATTTCACAGTGTCAAGCTCTGCCATGATTTGCTTTGTAGTATTTCAGATTTACTTGAATCATTCAGCCTAATGTAGAATCATTCTCCTTTTGTCATTTTATCATGTTCTTGTAAATCTGAAACACTGCAAGGGCTGACATGAGAACTGGAGTCATAGTTCAAGTTTGTTGAAGGTGACTTTGCAATTCTAGTTGCAAAGGTTTCGGTTAATGGTGCCTACATTTTCGACAAACTAAGTCGTAAAACCTAAGCATCAGCATTTCAGATTCTTTTGCAAACTTATATTCTTGGCGAGCTTTGAAAAATGAAGTTCAGTGGTCTTTTTCCTCGTTACATTTCTGAGGAAAGCTCTATGCATCTGATACTTGAATTAGCCTTTCAGGTCCAAGCAGCATGATGTATGGTGACAAAAATCTACGGCGTATCCCTAAACAATGTGCACACTGTATGATCGTTAATAACTCTCTTGCCTTCATGTCTTTTTGAAGAGGGCTGTACAAATTTGACGGAGCTGAAAAAAACAACCACTTCTCAAGAGCGAAGGCCATTTATGCTCATACACTGTAAACTAGGCATGTGCATTATCATTAAAAAGAATAACAACCTCGACAATAAGCTGTCAACATGGTTAATATTTATTTTTCTCCTTACCTTCGTACCTGAAATTTTCTCAACACAGCGATTTCACTTTGACAAAAGCACAAAAGAACAAATCTTGGCCGCTTTCGAGAAGTCACGGCAAGAAGACGACGATCAACCGCTGATCAGTGCGCAACATTCACAATCACAGACAAACTACGATGTTAAGAAGCTGGTATGATCGTCTCCACGATTCGTGTAGAGGCGGGTTGCGGACTTCCCCTGATTTTAAGGATGAACTTGTTAAACCTCTACTCATAGCATTGTTCCTTGCACTCTCTCGCTATCAAAAACCGCACGCTTTGAGTTGGCAAGACTCCGCCTCTACACGAATCGTGGAGTCGATGATACAAGTTAGTTTCCTAGTGCCACCTTTTTTGCAAGAATTTCGCTTATAGACAGACTCCCCAATAGTCAAGGCATTCACTGAAGCTGAAAGGAGACGGTTTTCCAGATCGAAAAATTGATATCTACTTTTATGTACAAATTCAAACCGCATTAACGAAGAATTTTGTACTTGATGCTGATAGTAATGGAAACTTAGGGTGCCTTCATACCGCGCCGGCAGCCGCCGCTGGCAGCCCGTAGCAGCCCGCAGCAGCCGCTGGCACCCCGTAGCAGCCCGTAGCAGCCGCCAGCAGCCCGTAGCAGCCGCCAGCAGCCCGTAGCCGCCGCTGGCCGCCTTTGTCATAGAAGCGCAAATCATCAAATTCTTAGTCCTTTCCTGCGCCTGCCCATATTTTCCATCTTCAACGCCGATGTGATATGACTGAAGCAGAACATACCTGAAAAAATCAAATAGCAACCTGCAGGAACTGGACGCATCCAAAGTCAGAAGAAATTCACACTGCGAAGAAACTTTGGCGAAATATGGTTCAATTGCGAGAGGGAAACTAAGCATCGATAGGATAACCAATCTACGGTAACAAGATAATAACAAGAACGGACAAGGTATGTTGTTATATGAGATGAAACTGCGGCAACAGAAAGAAATAAGCGTAGAGGATGGAGGGCGTAGGCGGTTGCACTTAAAATAGTAAGAATTTGATGATTTTGCGCTTGTACGACAAAAGCGGCCAGCGGCGGCTACGGGCTGCCACGGGCTGCTGGCGGCTGCTGTGGGCTGCCACGGGCTGCTGGCGGCTGCTGCGGACTGCTGGCGGCTGCCAGCGGCTGCTGCGGGCTGCCAGCGACGGCTGCTGGCGCGGTATGAAGGCACCCTTAGAGCTTGAGTAACTCATCTTATGCTGTAACTCTGCGCGGTTTCCCAAAATCAGTTCCCGCTGGCGATACCCATTTGTCCAGATTTGCCTGGACGCCGCTTCCAAAGAAAGTGGCTCGGCAAGCTTGATACGGAGATGAGAGTTGCAGTAATAGAGTTGCAAGACGCAACATTGAGTTATTTGGCAAGCGCATCTTCAAATTCAGCGTTGGAAGGATAATGTGCTCTACGGAGGATTCCTGCTCCAATCCAAAAGTAATCGTTCCTGCGGGCGAATCTACGATCCCTCCTTCAGCGCGCTCTAGGAAACAGACAGCTATAGTGGGCGGTACTGAAACGCAAACAGTGCACGATGATGCTTTGAATTACGTTTATGGCGTGTCGTCATGCAAAATTCAGAAGCGGAACCACAGAGAAAGGGAAGGCAAGGCTGACAGAATTCCATCTTTAGGCGTGAAGTAAATGATGGGCTGTAGTCACAAGAAGAACGAATTCTTTACTTATCACTCAAAACCGTTGGGTAATGTGCCGAAGTCTACAAGGATCTGAGGCGAATTGCCTTGATCTTCTAGTGGATATAAAGTTGGCAAAAAAGCACCACCGTGGACAGTATGGTCATTCCTTTGAGATGTATAGGCGATTCATAGCACGCAAAGATTGCGGACGTACCGGCGTCTCTTTGATCGAGCGTTCTTTCGTCTCCCTTGCTGTCTGCTGTCTCTTCCACACAAGAACTGTCTTGGCCGGACGCAATGGCGCCCAGTCTTTGCGTATCATGAATCGTCTTTATATACTACTAGCTGGCTTACCCGGCTCCGCCGTATGTTCCGAATAGAAAATTCCATTTCTGAACCGATCGGGACCAAACTTGGCACACATACACTTCGGGCCCCGGCGGGTGCCACAGTCCACTTTTCGTTATCGATCAGTGTCGATTTAATCGACGTTTTGCAAAATTCAAGCTAGGGGCTGGAATTTGGCAGGGGGGTGTAATCGAGCATGCTGATCATCCCCACGGGGGTGATCAGCATGCTCGGTTACCCCCCTGTGCCAACTCCCAGCCCTGTAGCTCAAATTTTGCAAAAAATCGATAAAATCAATATCGATCGAAGACGAAAAGTAGCCTATGACACCCGTCGGGGTCCGAAGTGTATGTGTGCCAAGTTTGGTCCCGATCGGTTCAAAAATGGAATTTTCTATTCGGAGCATACGTACAGACAGACATACAGACAGACAGACATACAGACAGACAGACAAATAGATATTCAGCTTTATATATAAGATTAGCATCACCTCTACTCGACTATAGATTGCAACACACATTTGTCTTCCCCCTCAGATTAGGCGTAAAGCTTATTAAGTAGTACGGTTGCAGATCTACAGTCAGTGTCATCCACGTGATGCATCCGCAGCGCAAGGGCATTGCGTTCCCCAATCAATGCGGCTAATTTTCTCGCTCCAACGGTGCGGCCGCCTACACGGGGCTCTAGCGTTGCGCTTGAGCTGATCGAAAAGGGAGCACATCTTGACACGGACTGTATGCAGCTTTACGTCTATCACATGATTTGACCGGAAAACGGGCGGGGTGGAGTTATACTATGAGGCGGTTGTTTCCGCGCCATTACGCCGCGTCTTGGAGATTTTAGGAAAAAGAAACGCTTTTTCAGTTTTTGCATCTGCTTATTTATTTCTCCATGTTTAATCTTTGGCAGTCAAATGTTTCGATGTAGTTGTGTGGTGTTGTTACATCAATTGGGGTGGAGGGCAGTGGGTGTCGGTAGATTCCACTCATGCGAACAGCTAGCATGAAGCAAATAATAAAGGCGCGTGGTTAGTTGCAAATGACCGCGCGGGACGTCCCCTTTCTATGACCTAGTCCTCTGCACCATCAATTGCTACTCATGAACTGATCTGAACAGTGTCGCAGGAACTCTCGCTTCGCATCACATAGAGCTATATTTTATACAGAACTACTCAGACACTCGCCATTGACTCCCGCAGGAGATCAGCCCACAAAATAGTCGCACCAAAATCCGTGCACCGGCGAAAATCATCATTTTAGTCTTGTCCCGATTTTGGTGTGACCCCTTCCTATACAAGAGATTGATAAATACCGCCCCTGAGCTCTATTACAGCAATTTCTCTAGCGTTAGCTTTATTTTCAACTTAACTTTCAAAGCTCTCACTTTTTCGCTCTCATTTGTTCCACGTAAGCAAAGCTTATCATTATTGCTGCACCCTAGGTAAGTGCAGATTTTTTTGCAAATGGTGTGTGCGGTGCTCATGTTGCCGACAGTGTTAAGTTCATGCTCATACCGCTTGCTGGCTTTTTTGAGGTGGAAAACAACAGTAAATATAACAGTGTGAGTTTCAGTAGTTTATTGGAATTCAATTGAGGTTTCCTCCTCAAAATGTCATGTTCATGTCTTTCTTCTATTACTGTTGCTTCTCAGAGGCCGTCCTCCACGTTGTCATTCACCAAACTCTATATCGAGCTTCATCTGGCCTCATTTTCTTCGGCCTTCTTGCTTCTTGCGAGAATTCTTTTTACATGTAAGCAACAAATAAATGAAGATGATAAAATTGTCTCGTATATACCGTTTAGGCTTGCGAACCTTCAACCGAAATTCAAAACTACCCTTGTAGCAGAGCGGGGAGGGAAAAGTTGGTCATTTTAAAAACCTTCCAGAAGAAATGGTGGGTTTCCTAATAAGTGGATCAATCTGCCTTCAAGTACATCAGTTTCAATAACTGATTTAGGGTTCGTTGACGCTCCGGGCCTATAGCGATGAACTTCTGCGGGCCCCAGATGAACATAAGCGAAATCCAAACAGGTATGTATGTTCTCTAAAGACCTTCATGTGCACTAGAATTTAGTGGGTGGATTAGCAGAAGAGGACGACGCTCGTGAGAAATTTTTAACGAACTCTCGGAGGCAAGAGTGGTTGGAGCGGTCATGCAAGAGTAGCAATAGGGAGGCACTGTGCACTGTGAGCTTTCTCACACTGTTTGAAGCGATACTTTTGAACTGTACTTTTGCAGCGCAGACATCCGCACTTACCATTTTAACCCTGAAAGAAACCGCGCTTATTCCGTCGAAGGTTTTTCATTGTTTTATACGGCCACTGGTGTCAACAATATTGATTTTCAGAAAAAGCGTTTCGTCATCGAAGGCATCGAAGGCAGCAGTATCTTGTGAACTAGTGACTGAGAAGTCTGAATGCATGACGATGAAGTTGATAAGATTGAGGAAGCTTGATGATATTGTCTACATTTTGAATCTACTTTATTTGTCCCATAAGCTTGTGTCGCGGTTATAGAGCTCCTGAAACTTATTGGCTGCTTTCTGTGCATTTCATTTTAATTCCGTCGTAAAGCTGCTCAAAAAGATTATGTGATATTTATTAATAAAATTCTTGATGTTTGACTGGGTTTTACGAGCAGAAAAATAACATGCGTGAGAAATGAGACCCATAGAAACCAAAAGGCACAAGGTAAGTGAAGAGGGAGGCGTGAGAGAAGACACAGAGGACGCAAAAATCCGTTTATAAGAGCGCATGTTTTGAACGCGATCGGGACATTATGGTGTCTCAGGCCTAAGGCATACCTGACGCGATTCGGCCAATCGCCACTTTCACGCGACTTGGCAACCTGCCAGTTTTCTACGGTTTTATCGTGCGCGCTTCTCAGACGCATAATTGGGTAGCATGTGGAAGTTGTTGCAAACGGAGCAAGTTCTGACCAAAGACAGCGCATTAACGACGAATTACGATAAGTCGCTTTGTGCCGAATCGCGCAGCGACCGGAATCACGCGAGGGATGCCTTAGGCCTCACGCATGTGGTCCGGATTGTCCAGAATGTGTCGGTAGGGACACCTTATTTTGTCGCGCACTTTTGACCCGGAACAATATCAGGTATCCTGATTTTGTTGATTTGCTTTTTTTGCCGATTTCGGGGTCGCGCAGACATTCCGTGACTACACGTCATTTCGTCTTGCGCGAGTCAACGGCGAGTGTCTGAGTAGCTTGCAAACCCGGGTTCGCCCGGCCAATATTATTTCCGTAGTTAGCATGCTCACTTACCCTCTCCATGCCCACTATACTTGGGTAATTCGATAATTTTTCATCGAGTAAACGAATATCGAATAAATTCGAGAATAAAAAATCTCGAATAAACGAATATCGAATAAATTCGGAAAATCAAAAATATCGAATGAATGAATTTCGAATGAATTCGGAAAATCAAAAATATCGAATGAATGAATATCGAATATATTCGGATATATTCGAACATTGGAAGTCCAATTTTGAATAAATATTCGAATGATTTATCGAATAACTAAAGCAATTACATCTCAAACTTGCCGACATATCTGGCTAAAAGCCGATCCAATCATAATCAGCCCCCTAGTATCCCCTATACCAACTCCTAGCTAAAAATTTTCCAAAAATTGCTGAAATCAATAAAATAGATTTCGGTTTTAATCAGCACCCTCACTTACCCCTTTGTACCAACTCCCAACCTCGTAGCTCAAGATTTTCCAAAAATTAAAACCGATAAAGTAAATTTTTATCCATAATCAGCACCTTCACTTACCCCCTTGTACCAACCCCCTTCCCGCAACAACGGTGGCCACATATATACTTAAATGCCACAAATGCTACGACACATTGCCTGTTCATCGGAGAAATTCGTCTTGTGTGGTATAAGCTAGTCGTGGACGAAGGCATGTGGTTTCCTCCGCGGAGCGAGCACGAATGCCCCTATAACCCCCGGCATACTGCAGGCATTTCAGTGGCGACGTGGTATGGCAATACTCAAATTGTCCAAAACCTATTCTGAAAGTACATAATGCAGGGCATTTATCTTTTTGGTATGTTGTACACGCTAAACATTTGTGGTAAGCTGCCATTACATCTGAAGACATCTCGTAACTGGCAAATCGCGTAGGGCGATCTAAACCGTCTAATCCTGCACTACAACTGCGATGTCCTTTACTCAGTATACACCAATTCGCAAAAAACTCCAAGGTAGCGAATAGGCAGTTTGCAATAATTTATGCGAGCAAGAATGCTCACTAGTGTGGGCTTTGCGTACCGCAAGCATGAGCAATGCAAAGAAAGAAGAACAGCCACTTCAATTCAGTATGAACTCGGATCATGAGCTTGAATTTGATATCTTCTTTGCTGATTTGGTGCCAATAGCAGTGCGAACAATCTCATTGATCGAAAAAACATCAATCAAAATCCACATATGATTTTTTTACTTTACGCAAGCAGTCGGAAGAATGCGACTCTCCATACACAAAGGTATACCGGTTGCAAAAGATGCATTACCGAGTTTTGCGAAAAAAAAATGCGGACTAAGTGAGCTTGATACTCAGCATTTGGCTCTGCAACAAAGTCGAATAAACCGAATACGAAGTACATTCGAATACGAATTCGAATAAACATTCTAATAAAACATTCGAATAAAATCTATTCGAAACCTCGTTTTTTGATTATTCGAGTTTTCGAATAATATTCGAAACCTCGTTTTTTGATTATTCGAGTTTTCGAATTTTATTCGATACCCTGTTTTTTGGTTATTCGAGTTTCGAATTTTATTCGAAACCCCGTTTTCTCAATTATTCAAGTTTCGAATATTATTCGAAAATGGAAGAACTCCGAATATCGAATTTCGAATACGAATATATTCGAATGTTTCATTCGAATGATCGAATTTCTATTCGATTCGGACCCAAGTATACTGCCAATTCTCAGCTCGTATGAAAAACTCCAGAAAATCGATAGAATCGATATCTATCATCGACGAAAAGTAATCTAAGACGCCCGCCCTGCCCCGAAGCGTGTGTGTGCAGTTCGGCCCACATCGGTTCAAAAATGGAATTTTCTGTTTGGAACAGTCCAGACATATGTACAGACAAACATACAGACATTCATCTTTACATATAAGATTTATTTATGAGACTATATATATCTCCACATGCTTCAAACAAACCTTTTTGTGTGATAACTCGAAATCTGTGGAAATGCGACATCGCGCCTGACAGGCAGTAGTATAAAACCGATCCTTTAGAGCATACTGCTACACAATCTTGCAATGAAAGTGCTGGAGGCTTCCTTTGGAGTATTCAAGTAAATTTTCTTTCCAATTTGTCATCTTCCGGTAGCGTGTCTAGAAAGAGTGTATCAACCGGATGAGCATGTCCGCAGCTTTCTGTTGCACTTAATGCTGACAGTGAGTTCAGTTATTGGAATTTGTTCAGTTGAGTTTTACAATGAGATCCAAACAGGGGCCGCCACAGATGGTTTGTGTCAGACTGGATTTCCTTTCTGGATAGAAAGCAAAGGGGGTATCATTTTTTGCAGCGTCCGGAGCTGAGGCTCAGAAAAAAATCGGCAAACATATCAGGTTTTAACTCTCGCTAGCGCGCGAGTTTCAAATGCAGAACTCAAATAAGAAAGTGGCTTTTTTGGCGCATAAACAATCACATGACATCAAAATTAGGTTGTGTGTATACAGTATTACTCCGAACTACATTGTTTAAAAAGTTCAAATACATATTTGTCTAAATATCTGTTGCCAAGTTTGTTGACTCTAGACCAGCACCAAACCAAATTACTTGATTTGGAGCATAAACATCGGAAAGTTCACATAAGTTTTGCATCTTTTTGATTTGAAAGATTAAAACGCTCAGAAATCTGTCATATAGTTACGAGAGTGCATCAGTTTATTGTCTCTCCTCTTTTTCTAGCCAAGAATAGCGAATGCCTATTGCTAGATATCGCGTCCTATCACAGGTATGTCAGGGCGTCCTTTGAACTATGTGGCGACGATTGTCAAGTAGTTCATTGTCAAGTTATTGTAGGCTACAAATTTGATTAATGTTGGTTTAGGGGTTTTCGACATACTGAACACCAAAATGGTACCATTCTCAATAACAGAAATTTAATTAACTCATAAAATGTTTTTTTGCTTTTTTGTTGTACAAAATACTTCAAAATGTGCTTTTTTCGCTTTTATGTGATTATACTAATCAAATAAAGGTTTTCTTACTGATTCATCGTAAAAAGAGACTTTGCAAAATTTTACGAAGTCATGGGGGTTTCGCTCTCAATTCCGCATGCCGAGACCTAAACCCAAAGTCTCTATACACACATAGTTATAAACGAAATGCTGTTGCTTATGATCGAATTTGGAGTTGGTAGCTATAAAGTGGTGCTTAGATGTGCTAGACACAAGTGTAATTTGGTCATCCGTTTACGCGAGTTTCTAAACACCGGGTGAGATCCGACCTTTGTTTTACGAGAAGAAATATTAGGTTGTCTCGAAAGTGTTGTCCGTTTTTCCAAACCACTATAAAACCACGCGCAATGAAGATCTGATGAGTATCAACATGCATTCGATGCAGCTTTTCCTTCTCTTTCTCAAAGATACATTTTCGAACCACAGTCTTGTATGGTTTTTTTGATAATTGCCAAAATTCTCAACCTGTCAATTTTATCTGCTCAAAGTTAGGTCAATTTTTGAAAATTTCACTCCAAAGATTCGGGAAGGGTAAAGTACAGATCGAATAGAAAAGGACTTATTTTTAGGTTCTCCTAATCAGCTGTTTTAAGCTTCAAAAAAGATTTTCCAAAGATCTCAATGTTTGTCAAAGTCATGGAACACGCAACTGCAGCATATACACAAAATCTCTTGAAGCTTCTGCGAATTGAAACATGATTTTTACTAAACATTATCTATGCAACATAACCAAGTTTGATTTTCTTTGAAAGAACAGCTTTTTGGAATTTTCGGTACTTTTATGTGGTAAATATATTCAAAAGCCGCGGTTTTCATTAACTAAGTAATTATAACGGACTTAATAAAGATGGCCCATGTAATCTAAAATGTGTGAAATGTAGCCAAAGGTTTGCTCTACATGACAGTTATCAGTGCTCTTTGAAAACATCAGGATAAAAATTGTTAAAATTTAGGAAATGTTAGGCGTTACTCTAAACTGCTCAAAAAGCCATGGCGATAACATCGCAAAGACAGGGTAGTTCAGAGAGTAATATAGCTGTAAGAAAGAGGATTGAAATCTGAATTGAATGGTACCTAAGCTGTCCATGGATTGGTGTTCTATGACTTTCAGTGAGCGATGGAATTAACGGACAAACTTTCGGGACAACCTGTGACCGTATTCATCAACGAAACCCGTGGGTTCCGGAACCCACTGGGTTAGTGCTTTTGATGAATATCGATTCTTCCCTGGAGTAAAATCGATATTCATCAAAAGCACTAACTCAGTGGGTTCCAGAACCTACGCGTTTCGTTGATGAATACGGCCACTGATTTTATCTCATAGAGCTACAGCCCATGCCAACCGAACGCTCCCTTTTCCATCTTTGCAATCGCTACGTAGAGCTGTGCGTCAAGTTTTTGCGCGTATGGCTTGGGTACTAAAATTGCCAAATTCTCAATAGAAGTTCAAGACTTTGCGTGCTGATGCGTATTTTCTGCACAAAAGAGACTACGTAATTGACACCTTCACTGTATTCATATTGCCATTATAGAATCTCAATAAATCAGTACTCCTTCCAACGACCTTGGCATTCTAGATTCTTGAGACAATTTACATAACAGATGATGCCAACTACGATTTAAGCGCATAGTTTTGATAAGTCTTTCGAATCACACTCATACTTGGTCCTCTTGATCTGCTTGATCACTTTACTTCATCCACCGCTATGGGTCGAATAAGTAAGCCAACCAATAGCGACTCAGACAATCTCTCGGAGCCATCCGGAGGCATATTCGGAAACCTCCAGGGTCTCCCCCGGCGTATTCAACTCTGCACCTATTCCGCGAAGGGCTATTTCGCCCCGGAGACCCTGAATTTTCACATTTGGCATACTTTAACTAGCCCTAAATTGAGCATACTATAACAACCCTAATCGAACAACCACTCCAATTTTAGCCCATTAGCCCCTCCCAACCTACCTTTAGACACTCAATCCTCCAACTAGTTTTTTTTTTCAAAAAAAAGAAACCACTATTAGACATAATTCTATTTATTCGTAGCACTAAAGTAACAAACACAAGTCCTGTTAATAAATTACATGAAAAAAGCACGATGATAACGGAAGCACTCGTTTTGCAGTGAGAAAAGATTGAAAGAGATCTAAGTGAGATAAGAGATTAGAATTTCACATAAGAAATTGGTATCATATTAACAAGTACAACATGGGAGTAATTAGAGAAGACAATAAAAGAGGACACAGAAGATATGAGGCAGAAATGATTATTCAACAACCTAGAAGAAAGTGAAAATAATAGTAAAGTTTGAGGCCGGAGAAATGAGGAAAGATCGTATTTTTCGGGGTGCAGAGGCATTTTTTGTGAAAGAGGCAGTTGCAATAAAGATCGACGAAAACTTGACACTTTACTGCATGCAATCAAGTGTACGTATACATCGACAATTCACTTTTTGTAAATGGATTTTTGAGTCCCTTGAGAGGCACCGTGCGGAGTCAATCTATCGCAACCTAGCTCACTTCGCAGCAAACAAGCCACAAAGCGGAAACCAGCAGATACGAGCCACACAGCTATCTGTAAACACGGAACCTTACGCTGGCATCAACTAAACCATAAAGGCTGCGATAGAAAAGCTCAACAGGGAGAAAACTTGTTTTTGAACGCCTAAGAGTAATGCTGCGTCAAAATTTGGAGTAAGCTTGCAAATGAGCGCATGATCAGGTAGAGAACTGCAGCAAAACTTGAATTTGATGACATATCACAAACCTACAAGAAATTCTAGGTGGGTTATCTACTCGAGAAAAAGTGGAGTAGAAGGCAAGAGAGGGAATTCCAAAAAATGCGGCGATCAAGAGCCCTCCTATGAAGAAGAGATATGAGAAAATAAATTATAAAGAAAGCATAGTTACGGTGATTCATAATTCAACGAGTGCAATTTTGAAAAGCAAGACTGACACGCTTGCATCAACATTTGGAAGCTATGGCTTGTGCATTTGATTTCTTCGCGCGTGGACTTAGTAAGCATCTGACAAGTCCAACTCGCGTGACAATAGCGACTCGGCGGAATCGCTCAAAGTATGACTGAATTTTAAATTTATAAACTCAGCCTTATACTTTACTTTTAGGCTTGATATTTTCTTTGATGCTTTGCCCCGTAAGAGCGAATCGAAGTTCATCGCAGCATCTGCAAGATTCGCTTCCGAGAGGACTTGTGTAGCGGTTACTCTATAAACATAGATTAGCCTTCTACAACACTTCTACTTAAATAGGCCAAATGAAAAATGAACGCAATAATTCGCACGATTCAGAGGAAACTTTTAAAGCTGCTAACAAACGATGAGAACATACAAGAAAACAATTTTTATTGATACACAAGAATGCACCAAAACAGGAAATAAGAAGAAAAAGGCCAACACAGAACAAAATATTGGACCACTTTGTCCCTTGCTGGATGGAGCGGGTCATAATTATCAAAATCTAACTAAAGGCATGTTTAAAATACTGTACAAGTCAAGGGTACAATCGCGAAAGAAAAACAAAGAAAGACTAAGTCAGACCCAAATAATGTTTATCTGGAAGCCTTGCGGAAGCTCAGTAGCCTTGAATTCGGTGAGTGACAGCTAGCTTTTATAGCTTATAATGTAAGTTAAAGACAAAACGGCCACTGACACGCAATTGATATTATCAAACTTTTTCTGCCACGAGGAAATAAAATTTGGAACGCAGTTCCTACAGTGGTTTAGCGCAAAGACTCCGCTTCACTGTAAGACATGAATCTACTCCACAATGTTTTGAGTATCTCAGTCGGAATAGACGTAAATATCAAGAAAAAGCTTTTGCCGTTTTCAAAAACAGTAGCTGGACAGTTCCATACACATACAGCCTAAGCTCACATAACGAGATTTTGTAGAGAATGATCGTAGCATACTGTGACATAATTTGATAATCAAAACCTTGAGTACCCTATTTTTAGGTGCATAACTTTGGTGAATTTTTGATCGAGCTGCTCAGCCGCTTTACTGTGTTTGAGAAAGCGATCCTGTTCCGAGTGATTCTCTTAGGCAATGCGCAGCATGTATGTGGTCCTTTGGTCGCGAAGTCTTTTGGCGTGTTCGGGCTAGATTTTAGAGAAAAAAATCCTACGGCTCACACACCTGAAAATAGGGCACTTCACTTTTGTGGCAATGCTGCAAAATGACTCAAATAATTCTGGCGCACTGTAATTCACGAGCTTGCAAGCTTAAAACTCCGAAAAAATTTGCATAGATCTATTCTCACAACGTAGACATTAGAAAATAACATAACGCGCAGTGACACTGGGGAGTGATGTGTCTATGTTAGCTGTTTTGTAGCGTTGTTAATTGTCTTTTTGTTATAAATCGATCCCTTAGCGTTCTGATGTTAATTCGAATTCCGTTCCCATGACATTCGCCTGTTTTCATAAAGCTTTCGTGGTGCTTGGCACCGAGCGGTACGTTCCCTCAAAGTCCGTGTATATATAGTTACCGTAATCGTTCGATGACTCATTATTGTTCTCGATCAGCTATTAAACTTCTGGGTTTTCCACTGTGTCTGGTTACACTTCTAACGAAGAAACGAAGAACTACAACAGATAGCGGTTAGCTCCAGAATATTCTGGCAGTAAGCGGTAGTATTCTTTTATAGCGACACCTATGTGTAGTCTGATAATGTTGCTCATTTAACGTGAACGAATTAGCGAAACATTCTATGTCAGATCAGTTCAAGTTCAAAAAGATGACGCGAACACCCCACTCTAGGAGATCTCTAAGCAAAGTCTGCCGGGCCCGACTGCCTCTCTTAACTTTCGCCGACTACGGGAAGGCCTTCGACTGCATCGAAAACAAAGCCATCCTGTCAGCGCTAGTCGATCTTGGAGTGGATCCAGATCACGAGAGGATAGCCAACTGCTACAAGGTGTGTACAAGCAACGATGCAGCTATCCCATCGACCCTTGACCATCCTAGTTGGAAGGGTGTCTGTCAAGGAGACACAATCTCGCCCAAGCTGTTAGTCGCGGCTTTGCAGAGGGTGATGAAGTCGTTGCACTGGGACGAGAAAGGTATACGAGTTAGTAGATGATTTTGAAACTTTTGAACCTTCATTTTGGACATTGTTATCTTTTCTAGCAGTTCTACTGAAGCAAAGACGATGCTCAAGGAAATAAAAGTAGTAGGGAGAGAGATACTGCGATGAATTGGGAAGTTACGAAGATGCGGAAATAAATTGAAGGCATTTCCCCTCCCCCATGGACGTCTTCTTGACGATGTCAGAGGTCTTCCAGCAATCGACTATTAAGTTATTAGCCAGTACATCATCTCAAAGTGCACATGTTTTTCTTCTGGAATTTGTTGGTTAAACTTTTATTTTGAAGCGTTTGAAATAAGTGGTGTCTATTCGTTCGTGATTTTCTCCGTACTCAGTGAGTTTCATTAATAACTCTTTCTCAAATTCGTACCTCCTGGGGTTACTCTTAATTGCTCGCGTAGGGAAAGGCTACAATAACAAGCTTGATTGATTAATCTATTTTCCGCCTCTCTCAGCGACGGAATTATTTGCTCTGCATCTCACAAGGGAAGGTATATGACTCGCAGTGGAATTCCCCTATGAGATGTATATCATTCGAAAGGTTTCTGATTGCTGATTCCAAAACAAACCTCCTTATCTGCTTATCCGTTTACTGAACAAAGTTACAGGCAATTTTCCGCCTCCAGTTTGCATGGTCAAGTACTGTGTAAATAATCTAAATTCGTAATAAATGCGAATTTGGTCTAAAAGACGCCCAAATTTCTGAGATATTTTATTGTACATAAGAAAATTGAAGGGAATAGTTTTGGAGCTACTCTGTCGCTTCAGTCCTGCACAAAGCAACCAAAATCAGTATCATCTGAAGCCAAACAAATGCCTGTAACTTTGTTCAGTGAACTGATAAGCAGATAAGGAAGTTTGTTTTGAAATCAGCACTCAAAGACCTCTCGAATGATATGCATCTTATAGAGAAACTCCATTGCGAGTCATATACCTTCCCTGTTCAGAGGGCTCTAGGTGCATAGATCCCTCTGCAGATGATCCCTCATAAGCGTCATAGACTCGACGTCTCAGCAGGAGATATGCCAGCTTCGAAAATGGGTGAGGGTACCTATCTTATGAAGCTATACGATAGTCTGCGAACTTGTACAGTTGCCTTTGGTGAATTAGCCGCTTCAGTCTTCCCTCTCGTTTTGACGGTGATCTTGCTTCACTATTCGCACTCGTTTGACTCGAATGCGCGCTTCTTCTTTTTAGAGCCTTAACGTTCACTCAAAATACTTCATGAGACATGTCTGAAATTATTGATGCGGCGGGATGTTCAACCGGCTATACGCAGCATTTCTACCCGATAATATTTGGCACGCCGTCAACTTGAGCAGCTTATCTAATTCATACGATCTTATGCGGTTATTTGCAGTTGCATGTTCCCGTCTTCTTAGTTCATGAAGGCCAAAGTAAACATCTCGTGGATTCAGAAAAGATAAAGAGACGTGCTGAGTCGAAAGTATGCCATGGTTTTTCTCGTCGTTTATCTTATCAAGTAGTTTTTTTTACCCTTTTTTGTTCGAATCATAAGGCATAGTAAACTTTGATTTAAGATTCAGGACAGCACTTTGTCACGGTCTGTCACTGAAATAGTGTGGTTATCATGCTGTGGTTTATCTATGAAAAGTCTGACTAAAAAAGCTGCCTGCAAAAGCACAGGCACACCACACGCAGCGACAACCACATAGTCCAATGAACTTTGGACTTTGGCATTTAAAAAACTAAAGTCTTAAAGCAGCATTCCTTCTTTGCACAACTGATCGCCAAGACGCAGAGAAATTAAGATACGGCAGACAGAAATGTTTTTAGTCATATAATAGTAGTTTGTTGGTTTAGAGTTTAATTACGAAAACAAGTAGTACAGTTTATAGCCATGTTTCCTATCTAAGTGTGCAAGTGCACATTTCAGCGCTGCTCTCATAAAATAATGCCATTACACCTATGACTATGCAGTAAATATGACCTTGCCTGAATGTGAAAGAATAAATTGAAAACATAAGGAAAACCATATTTGAGCTTTGATGGGTCAACACATATGGAGCGACACTTGTTTGGTGTTGGTAGCGAAGGTCTTACATCAACAAATTCTTTTGGCCTTCTCCATTTATGAATGATAGCAAGAACAGAATTTTTGAACAGACACTAAATTTGCCTTAGTTCTGCACTTCCCATTGATATCCATCAATATGTCACCTCCGCTTCTCAGAACTCGCACTGGTTCAATTACTCATGTGTCCTTGTTGCTCGCATGATGAAATGCAATTTTATCACCGGATTGCTCTCCATACAAACGCTTAACATACAGAATCGCTAACTACGGATATATGAAATTTCTCATTGGGAGAACAAAGCGAGCTGAAACTAGTTATTGTATTGTACGGCCTTGATGACTCCTAAGAAAACAATGCCTGCTCCATTACGCTCATTTTGATTTTTGTGGACTTGAAATCCGTGGCAAGACCCCATGAATAGGCGTGGATAAGATGAAAAAATCTGTCTGGTTGAAAACGATCCAAAATCGCACGCCCGAGTTGTGTGAGTCGACTCTGCCTTTGAAATGGATGTAGTGAGACACCTAATTAAATCTCGTGGTCTTTCGCCATGTCGTTTTCGTTTACAACATATTAATATATAGTTGTACAGGCACACCGATCCGGCTATTTCTACGACGGCCTGCTACTTCCTTCATTTTTCCATCGAACAAGGTAAAATGATGGGCGTTAGACGATTCCCACGATCGTAACGCTTTCCACACATCACCACCGCAGCGCACGATAGAACCTGCGGCGCCTTTTGTTCAAGCAAAACGCAAGGGAAGGAGAGATCTGCCGCGTGCATGACGTGTTAAAACAAGTCATCAGGGTATTGCTGGAACCGCCTGTGCGAGAAGACCGTCTCCCTAAAAGGATGTCAGTGTAATTGTAGAGTATGAGGGACAGGGCAGGCCTATGCTTTAGAGTTTCTTTGCTTCGCATTATTTGTCCGGTGTGCACACAAATCAATACAGTTTATGTTATAGAAATAGATGTTCTGCTGTATTTCTGTCAGTACTCCAGTGGCCGTATTCGTCTTTGATACCTTGAGCTAAATTCTACCTCCAGGTAGTTTTATCACTCATTATCAGCAAGTACCCGTATTCACAAAGTACCTTGAGGTAAATTCTCAATGTAATTTTGCTGATAATGAGTGATAAAACTGTCTAGAGGTAGAATTTACCTCAAGGTATCATGACGAATACGGCCACAGGTTCTCTCTTCTCTGAATCTGGGCATCTTATTTCGTAATATGTTATAGAAGATGTTCTGCCAAGCCCAGATTGGTACGATGGAATCTTTATTGACCTCACGTTTCGACAAGGTCGTCTTCTTTAGAGGTCTGAAAGATGATTGCAGTCCTGACCTGTGAAACTACGCCGCCAAACGTCATCTCCATACTTATCGAGTCTAGACCTCGTCTTATGCACAACGTACAGAGAGGCATATTGGCAGAAGGAACCAACCGTTGATCCACCATGATGAATATGTTAGCGGTCCGCGGGAAGCAGCGGACGATAGCCGCAAAGATGTTGCGGACGGACGACACTGAGTGTCACTCGGTGTGTCACGTCTATATATAAGGCAGCTACTGTTCACATCGTGATAGAAAAGGTAGAAGATCATTCGCCATTGACAGGCATTCATTCTTGTTATTCATGCTTGGGCTCTTCAAAGAGATCTACAAAGCTTCCAGTATCTTTCGTGCAGAAATTTCTGTCTCGTACGCCAAAAAACATTTGACCTCGAACTCAGCTCCGCCATGTGCTTAAAATCTACGCTTTCCCAACGGTGATACCGATTTCCCTCGTCTCTTGTTTGCTAAGTGCTCTTTGACCCTGATATTCAATGCTCTGCCCGTCTCACCTCTATAGAACGCTCCGCAATTTGAACACACTAGTTGGTATACGACCCCTGACTTCGCGCAATCTCCTAATTTTCCGTATGGGCAAATAATGCATTGCTCTGATACGCATTCTGTATCATATAACCTGTTTCGCACTAACTGCTTCCTGATGCTTTCGTTCGGGATGTTTACCAGTACAACCTCATTTTGCAGTTGTGCTCGAGTAATGCACTGCTTTATCGCTGCACTCATTTCATTAGAGATGAAGTATGCAAAGTGGGGCTCTCTTGTCGTTACGTGCAGTTTGACTAACATTAGATCGTGAACGTCTACCAATATGCGGATCTGTGTAGCCGTTGTTGCGCGTAAAAAAACAAACAAACTGCACGTAACGACAAGAGAGCTCCACTTTGCATACCTTTCACAATACACTTAACTTTGAAATTACCATAACCCTTTTACTTCCCTCTAAAAAAAGCCCCTGTTATCGAATTGATGGTTTGCTGGACTGCGAAGCAGGATTGTGTAGTCTCTCAGTGATTCAGAAACTATGAATGTGTTCTTGATGCATTGTAACAATCGATTTTAGACGCGAGGTGTCATTTCTTCCACCTGAAACCTTGATTAAAGGTTTGATTTCGTTTGCTGATTGCTACTTTTGTTATATATTGGTGCTGCTATTTTGTTAGACGAACGTCAGCATCAGAATCTCCATCTTAGATTATTGGGTCGTTAAGTAAGTTTTGCAACTTGGTCCGCTCAAACTTCGGCATTATGTGGACTGCAATGAGAGCTATAATCGCCCTCCTCGCATTTAGGTACAGTCGACTGCACGGAATCGCCCAGGCTGAACTCGCACTGAACATGTCTCTTGCGGGCTAACATTGGCATTCGCGCGCATATGTCATCATAGCAACCGTACTCGGCAGCCGCGCGTTGTATAGTGATTTTTTTGTCAGTAGCGTTTGTAGTCAGAGTTGAAGAGTTTGTTGTTGTTTAGCATGTTTCATACTATTAAGCTCGTCTTAGCTCTGCTTCCAGATAAGGTCGGAAAACGAGGCACACGGGGGGCTTTTGACATTAAATTCAATAGAACAACTCTCTAAGACATGCTACTTAACAAAAAAAGATTTCACTGGCACACTTTTCAAACTTAGTCATTTCTTCACATTCAACCTGAAATCGAAGTTGCAGAAACGAGCATAGCACATCGCTCAAAAGCAACATAATATACGATCCCAATCGGTACGATTGTTGACTTTTAAAAACTGGCATGAAACATCGGAAAGCACCGAAAAAATCTAATTAAGAAACTTAATTGAACTAAGGGCTGAATGGCACAGGGCTGAATGGCTGATTTTACGGTGCCGCGCTCTGCCGCAACTGTGCTCTAGTACAAATTCAAATTCGTCCCCTAGGTGTCTAGTGGTAGGAGGATGACTAAACAAGTAAGCACAGACTGTTTGATTTTTGATAGCAAAATAGAAAAAAACTGAGCATTATTCTAGAACCACCGGAAGTTGGGATTTCATTAGTTTACAAACGAAGGTAAAGCCTTTCGCAGCGTTGACTGGACATATAAGCCCAGTTTGTAATATTGTTGAAGATTAGCTTATTAATCTCTGTAAAATAGTAACGGTAGTTGGAGACTGCTCGAGATCTAACGCTGTGAAAAATTTGAACAGCGCGTGAACGCAGAACTAACGCTAACATCAGGAATAACTATTGAGCGAAATTTGCAGAGACTTTCAATCATAGGGTTACTCTACTGCGTACGAACTATCATATTCTTCAAGCTGAGATTTTTTGTCTTCCCAAAAGGTACTGCCCTGCAAAATGAGTAAGATTTTTGTAATCAGCGTGTCGAGTCCCCCCTTCCCTCCAGCTGGACCAAGTTTCTGTGAAACTGTAACGATCTGCGATCCACAAACTTTTTCACTGTACTCCTACCGTTACCCTCACATGTATTATCAGTTTGGAACAAATTGCTTTATGTGTAGCTCAAAATCATACTAAACATTGTCAAAGCTTAGGTGATTGACATACAGAAAGGTTATAAAAAAGTTGCAAAACTTAGTCAATAGCCTGATTTCTCAGCTACCTTTTCTGAATGAATTTATAGTGAGTCAAGTTGAAAAGTATTTATTGTATATAATGTATCAAGAGCAATGTCACGGCGGCGCAGGTTTGCACGGCCCGCAACGCTTGTGCTTGCTTCGCATCCACGACATATCCTCTTCTTCTGTGGCCGTATTCATCATTGATACCTTGAGGTAAATTCTACCTCTAGACAGTTTTATCACTCATTATCAGCAAAATTACATTGAGAATTTACCTCAAGGTACTTTGTGAATACGGGTACTTGCTGATAATGAGTGATAAAATACCTGGAGGTAGAATTTACCTCAAGGTATCAATGATGAGTACGGCCACTGATCAGGTCTGGGAAAACACGCAAGAAAAAAAATAGGAAAAAGAAAAAAAAACGTCCGCGAACGTGACACAAGCTCAACAAGAGAGTCGGTTGCGCCAAGTCGAGACGTTGAAGCTGTGATACCGGTACGAGTGCAAATGTCAATTTGGATCGTTTTAGGAAAAAGAGGGGATATCATAATCAAACGAACACGTGCACCACGTACCCCCTCAAAAAGTTTCTACACGACACCTGCAAAAACACGATCTTGCTCACGCGCCACACGTCTTCGAAAATCCAGATTTTATTCCATTAAGTACTGATTAACTGCCTCGTTTGCAGCGAGATAACCATATAACTCCGAGCTCGGTGTATAAACAAGCAAGAGCTAGTTGAAGCATAGTGCCCAGTTTTGTGAAGAAATTATGTGACTGAAAGTTGTGGCAAGCCTTTTTCTGAAAATTTTTTGTTAATGAAAAGCAAATGACCCGTTTGCAATGCACAGGCAGCGATTCAACTCCAACTCGGAAGGTACAGGCGCAATATGAGTCAGAACAATGCATGAAATCATATGAGCTTATGTGAGTGAGGAGCGTGAGCAACTTCTTCTCAATTTAGGCCACCTTGAGGATGCAATCTCTCAGTTCATAAAGTTTATCGAAACTCTTACATAAGTCTGCTTTACATCCAAATAAAAGAAGAAAAGAAAGTTACCTAATTTCCGTTTCGTTCCTATCACTATACGGAAAGTAGTTTACTGTGTAGTAAATTTTGGTTTAGGAACCCAAAGCAGCAACGAAGGCACCGCTCACGCGGCTGGCATAATTAAGTGGTAGTTCGTATAATTCGAAAGCGAAAAAGGCGAAATGGTTCTCTAATGTGTCTTTATACTGCGCCGGCAAGCGCCACTAGCCGCCTGTAGCCGCTTTTGTGCTCTATCTCATATTCCAAAGGCTTCCCAAAACGTTAAAAGATTATGCTATTTGCAATCAACATGTCCAATAGTCCCACTAAAACAAGTTTAAGCAAGATTCGCGGTTTCGATATGGGCCCGGGTACTGGAATAGCGCGCAAAGGTGGCTAGCGGCGGCTGCCGACGCGGTATTAAGACACTCATAGGTGTATAGTTGCCATCCTCATACTAGGCGCTGTCTTCACACTATTACTGAGGCGTAACTCTTCTTAAGCAGATGCCTTGTGTAACTGTACCAATTCTGACATATGCAGTGCAACAGAGACATGGTAAACTCACCGTTATACCATTAGACCTGCCAGTGCGATTTGAAAAGTAGTGCAATCCTACACTAATGCTTGAACGATGATGGTTGTTTTGAAACGCGGAATCATATATTATTTTCATAGTAAACCCCCATTTGGCACAGTTCTGCCGTCGTGGAGGGAAGGTATTTAGGAAACAAGGCAAATCAACTAACTTGCTTAGCTCAACCTTTTAGAAGAAATATGTATATATGTCCTGAATCAGCTTTGAAAGCTGAAAACTAGAAGCGAATAAAGAGAATTCCTTCAGTTTTGCAGTTTTTGAGCATGCTCAAAAAGGCCTAAAAACGTCACAGAATGGGCAGTCATGAACATGAGATTTGTGACCTGCTCTTTTTTGCTGTGCAGGAATCGTGCTAATCGAGAGCAATTTTGATTTTCGTGAAAAACGCAGGCTCGAAAATCCGAAAAAATCACGAAAAACGAAACTGCTCTCAATTGGCACGATTTTGTAATGAGCATAAATTTCTCTATCAAACAAAAATACTTCCAGAATTTTTTGTGGAACAACTCCAAAAATGTCAATCTTGACTGATTTTATTCAATTGCTTGTAACTCTCGAACTCAAAATAATTCACGGCGGAGTTACTGCTGTAAAGTGCATGAATTCCTCTTTCGAATAGATATAATTGTAACAAAATCTCTCGAGTGGCAAGGAAGTTATGATTTTTTGGAAAATGATGCGCAAGAACTTTCAGAGCAACCTAATATATATGTTTTCCAAAGGCCAGGTACGTTAGGTCCTTTCGTTACAAGTTAAACGTGCGATGCCTCAGTGTTTCCAGTGGGCTATCGATCTATGTATTAGGTTGGCACATAAGTTTTGCAACTTTTCCCGTAACTTTTTTCCTATTTTATGTAGCAATCTCATTTTGTGGCATCATGTAGATCGTGATGTAAGCTGCAAGTCTGCGCAAACCGTTTGATTTTTGATAACGTAGTACAAAATATCTAAGTATTTTTTGAAAATTGCTGAAAATCGAGGTTTCACGATTTTTTGGCAAACATGAAGCCCTACGAAACCTGATTCAAACATATGAAAAAGCAATTATAGGCAGCATGTAGCTGGAAGTTGGCACATTGAAATCAGTGAAAAAGAAATGAAATTTGAACACAAATTAAGGTGGGGCGCCTTTGAGAAGTTGAACAAATCAAATGCGTCAAGTTTTGAAGGCAATTTGTCAATAACTAAGCTGCGAAAAGTCAGAATTCGCTATAACTTTGCACTATAGGGTAATCCTTTGCGGCAAACACGAATATCATATTCATTTGTCGCTAAAATGAAATTCATCTTTTGATCTCACGAACGAGGCCCTTTCATGCGAAAAGGATCTCATTTTTGTGATCAGCATGTCAAATAAGCCCTATAGGCCAAGTTTTAGCAAAATCTGGTGCATTCTAAAATTTTTCCCATAGTACCGTAAACCTACCGTAATCCTCACATAAGATGGTAAAATTCGGCAAAAATGTGTGCATTAGAAGCTTACATCATATTCCTTATATTGCCAAAAAATGAATGCGCTACGTTCAAATAGACAAAAGTTATATAAAAAGTTGCATTACTTATGTGCCAACCTAATACATGCGGATCGCTTTCTAGGTATGATAACCGTGTATGTCCTTAAAGGCACCGTCCACTCAAAATGGGGTTTATGAGATTCCGATGTCTAATAGTAGCGGGGCCCTCAAAGGTATAACTGCCTAACTCGCGCTGTCTGAATTTGTATCCGAAAAAAAAAGTTGCTTCGAAAATCTTTCGAAAACGAATCCGCCACGTTGGTTCATCCCTCTTGAGTGCGCGGTAAATTCGTCTCGTCTCTGAACTTTCGTTCAATTCTAGGCCTGAATTCGGACTCACCGTGCACAAGAGCTGCTAAAAAAGACAAAAACTCATGATCGAGAATTTGGGTGGACGGTGCCTTTAAGGGAGCAAAGCTTGAGCAGGTTTGACTGGACGGTTCAACGACCATCGTTCGAGATCGACTAGTGATAACATCTGTGCTGCATCGGCGAGCAATCTTCGTTAGCGGTCACTATCGAAAGGTCATGATGACCGCTATCAGGGATTTTCAAGCTTAAAAATCGCGTAGTCTGATTCAAAATGTGAGGCAGAATTCTTAATCCGAAATTGTACAGTAAACAATGGTAAGACACCCAACATAGATCGCTTGAATGCGGAGATAATAATCAAAACTTATATAATATTTGGCTTAGCCACTTTTTGTATCTTCGCCCAAAAAGGATAGAAAGAGTGATGGAATCTGAGCCAAATTTTGCATACATGATGCACGGGGTGGGGCATGTTTTAAAAAACCATTTTGTTCTGGACCCGTCGATTGCTTCTATCGATTTATTGAATTTTTGCTGTGTCTGCTTAAAAAATCCTTTGTGTTCGCCCAGAAAAGATAGAGGGAGTATTATGATCTGAGCCAAATTTGGAATACATAGTGCATAGAGTCGGGCGTGTGCTAAAAGCCATTTTGTTCAAGACACACAGGTTTCCCCTATCGACCTATTGGTTTCCTTTGCAGTTTGCGAGTTTGATATCCGTTGCTTAGAATATTGCATTCAACACTGACAAAGCCAAAATTATGTACTCGGTTGTTCCTTCTGCGCAGGTTAGAAATCGAAGTAATTCGTGCAAAACGACAAATTTTCTGCTATTTCACGTTTACGCATTATAGAGCGAAACGAAAGATTTACAAGGCAGCGAAGCTGTCGAGTACCAGCCGAACCTGCCGCGTAACGGCAGAGAGCGCTGGTATAATATAGTGTAATAGCGATTCGAAAAAATCGCGTTTTAAGTTGAGAGTTTAGGACTGCTTCTATAAATGACATCCTCAATGATTATCTGCGAACGCAATAGTGCACAAAAGCTCGAATGCATTTTTCTGGAGAATAGTGTGAGAGCATAGCAAGATCCCAGCTTACGTCAGGATCTTGCTGAAAATTTTTTCTCGCAGACCTCTAGATTTCCCGCCTCGGAGCAACCTAAAGTCGGAAATTTGGCACTATTCAAAGCACGTAAACGCGAATGTGAAATAAATTCGAAAAGCATCCTTGCCTACAGGTGCTAGCCTGTTTGTGAAAAATTGAGAAAGAACTATGCTCAATGAACTCTTGACACCAGTACACAAAAACGCATTTCACAATCGTCTTTTTTGTAAAGCCTCTCTTTTGTGCTTTGTTGTCAGCTAAAGGGAAATGCAGATAAAATTTTTGATAACGTTTTGCTCATAGTTCGTCACTGTTGTTTAGCCGCTAAGGTACCTCATTTTGATCAATCGTACCGCCTCTCGTCGCTACATTAATCCCTTTTTTGGACACTTTTTGTATTTGCTACGATTTTTTATGTCACACATTCACTATATAAATGCAAAGGAATACTACATACAATGTGAGAGATTCGCACTTGCGGCATATGCTTTTCACGTTCATACATCTTGTATCTTCACATACATAGGATTTTCTTACGCAATAAATATTAACAAAAAGAATTATAATCTTGACCTTCCTTTGCATTCATCGAATCGAACATTACTTTAGTATCGTCTGTAATGTTTGAATCATGATGGGGTAATTTAGAGCTCTGTAATGGAGTCAGACAACTAATCTTTTTGTGTAGAAGTGAACTGAAGGCATCACTTTCTAGGCAAACTACAAGTCTATACTATATCATTTTATAACAATGCTACAGTCTGTCCCAGTAGAGATGAGGCCGAAGTCTGGTTTGAATTTGCGTGCACGCAGAGCCAAGAGTTTGCTTTGCATATGAGCCCTGTCAAAGAGAGCAAAAAAAAATTAAAAAGAGCAGACAAGCAGGCCGTGGGAGTGACGCAAAACCCTAGCGACGCGGATTCCCGCCATGCTAATTTTAACTTGATTGTGATTGGGACAGACTGTACACAGAAGATGCATTTCTGCAAGATTATTCTCTCGCCGTATTTTTATGTGTTATTGTACGAGGTTTAGATATATTCATCGACGGTCTATGTTGTTTTTCATAAAACCATTACAATTTATCCAAGCTCTGGCTTAAATTTTGATATATTTTAGGGATAGCTTTGATCAGCTTTCGAGCAAAATGACTCTTACGGTAAGTTTATTTAGCGTCACCGTTACGAAGTTATTCGAGAACAACCGTTTTAGTTTGACGAGGCCGCTGAAAAAGTGAGGAAACTAAAGAAGACTCCACCAGATGAACAGATGCTCGAGCTGTATTCGCTTTACAAGCAGTCCACCATGGGTGACAATCCGAATGCGAATCCTCCTTCGACTCTCGATGTGAAAGGGAAACAAAAGTTCAATGCTTGGAAGTCTAGGAAAGGCAAGTAGTTGATCAATTTCTGTGCAAAACTGAGCTCTGTTCCGATGCTGCTGCAGAAAAAGTTCAGGAGAAAGTGTACTTTTGGCTTACGTTAGGGAGAACCAGAGAGCAGCAATGCGACATAACGTAACTTCAAGAGATTGACTATTTTCTTTCATTCTCTTTCAATCTTTTAGAGAACCACCATAGATATCAGAAAAGAATAAGCTTTGGTGTAATGAACATTCTGGACCAATTCAGCTGTCGCGGACAAATTGGTTTCTGCGAAAGGCTTTGAAATCTTGAATCTACTCAGACTTTTGGCTTTTCAAGCATTTTCCATGTGTAGACTATCCCAATATTTTAGCGCTGAACAATTTAAGCCTCAATAAATTGTCCTTCTTCACTCCCAACAACTCTTATTCGACATTTGTTCGATTAAGTGTAGTTTTCTACATCGGGTATGTAGTTACGCAGGTTTATCATCTAAACAAGAAGCAAGAAGCTTATTTCGTGTGGCATCAAAACAAAAAAGGTTTTTGCTTTTTAGTGACTTGTACAAATTTTTTTAGCCCACAGCTTACGCAAAAAACCATTATTCTTCGTAATTTCTCTATGCGCATAATTCCCAAAAACCATGCGAATAAGCACTTCTATTTTGTAAGATTTGGAGAAGAAGCATGCTGCATCTGGAGGTTATGAGTTGTTGCTATTCAATACAGCAACGACATTTTCTTCGAATCCAGAACGCTTGCGTAATAGGGCGTCGAAACATATATTTCGAACAGCTCATAAATGCTTTACTTTAAATTAATTCTTAGTCTAGTTTGCTCTACACTTTAAGAGGAACAAAAAATGTGACCCTACAATTTGTCATTGCTTGTTGCACTTTTTTGAACTGAATTGAGAATTTTTGAGCACTATATCTGAAGTGCTTATTTTGATATTGAAGTAGATCCTAGCATTTTCGTAAATTATTACCATGTTGCATATGCGCGTACTCAATTATGCTCAGTTTCAGGAATGAGCAAGGAAGATGCAAAGAAAGCTTACATTGCGGCAGCTGAGAAAGCTATCGCCTCTATTGGTTGCAATCCATAAAATAGCAGATGGTCATTGAACTGTAGAAACTTATATCTTTTATTATTGATTCTTGGTGGTTTTGATAATAAATATTGAAAAATCGTTTACACACGAAATAACCACAAAGATAACTGTACATCTTATCTATGACTGCGATAAAAAAATTTTAGGCACAGAATAAAACAAAGAGCTTTGTACTTGACATATTAATAATTTTCAGTGTAAAGCGAAAAAGCCGAAAGAGACTGGCAGGACATATAAATTTGAACTAAACAGGATTTACGACATCTGCTCTTCGCGAAAACACCAAGTCCTGTGCAGGGCACAGTTAGCGAAATGAGCTTTCCGCACAAATGATGGTACTGCGTAGAACTTACTAGTTAAGCAATGTAGGTTTGTGAAGGTAGTGTGTAGCCTGAAAACCAGTGCAGATATAGCTGAGTGGAAAAGGGCTGGGCATACATCATGCGATTTGGCCTAGCAATCCTTTCAATAAGACAGTTGTTATAATCGCCCTCCCCCACTAGACACACAGCGGACGAATTCGAATTTGAACTAGACCGTCAGATTCGTTTCAAGTTCATGCAGTATTCTTTTGTACTTTTCGCTGTTACATGGTAATTTCTTGGTCTCAATAGCGTTTGTAATCAGAATTGAGAGTTTATTGTTGTTCAGCGATATTTCATACTATGATACTCGTCTCTCTAGATATATTTTCAAGAGAAGATAAAACAACGATGCGCATGGGGAATTTTTGATATGGTTTATAGAAGTAACACTTTAAAACATCTTATTACCGATAAAAGGTTTTGCTTGTACAGTTTTCAATCTTAGGCGTTTCTCCAAGCTTAATCTGAAGTAGAACCGAGCATAGCAGCACGAAACACCGCTCAAAAGCAATAAAACCTTCAATCCCAACTAAGAAGACTGTTAACATTTAAAAAATAGCATAAAACGTCGGAGAAACACAAAGAAAAACTCTTTCAGTTCGCACTAAGGGCTGAATGTGCCGCGCTCTGCCGCAACTGGTGTGCTTTTGTTGAATTTGAAATCGTACACTAGGTGTCTAGTATACCTCGGACCAAATCATATATATTCGAGTATTCGAATAAGTATTCGAATAAAATTTATTCGAAATTCGATTATTGGGAGATTTCAAAACCTCGAATGTATTCGATATTCGCTTTTTCGAAATTTGTCAAGTTCAAATTTGACGGTGAAATCGCGTGATGTATGCCCGGTCAACTAATCGTTTTGTTAGATGAGTACTGAACTGCTGCTTTTTTGACTAGGTTCCAGGAACTAACAAGGGAATGGTCAGAAGGCGAAGTAGCCATTACAAACAAGCTGCATATCATTGGATGTAGCTTAGAAGGCGGACTTCAAAGTTGTTTTCTGTATCTGCTAAACGCCTTCGTGGATGAAATAGGTCATCACATTACAAAGAGATCGTGTATGCAATTGAAAATTTGGTCACACAGAGCCATACTTGACTTAGCGCTGCGCAAAACATGAACAGGCTACTGCATGACGAAGGCGCAGAGGCAGAATTAGTTGAGCGGGTGCGAACGCGGCGCGCGCGTATCCTCACCGTTGTAAATCCTGCGCCTCATGCGCTCTACGAGTAATAAAGCCGCGTTCGCGCCCGACTATATTACGGCCTTCGTCATGCAGCCGCCTATAAGTTTACTTTGTACATTCACACTCAAAGGTGAGCTAAAAAGGCAACTATCTAATTTCGCACTCATATGATCGAATTTCATGCATTGAAACTGCTTATAACTTTGTCTCAGCAGATAACGAAGACAGTTTTAGTACCAGCGTTCTATATCGCATCCAATGGTAAGCAGTTTATTAGAACTAACAACTTCGTCCTCTGATCATTCCTTTGTAAGGTTTTGAAAGATAAAAGTTGATGAGATAAAATGGTCAAAACCAACCGTGACTACGGCGCTTTATTCGTATAAGCAGGTATTGTAGCTGAACTGTCTGAATCAGAGCAGGGCCTCCCAAGAATCTGGCGATGATGTAGACAGTGCTGCTGAGATGATGGTGCTCGCATCTGAAATGATGAGAATGATAAGACTGTGAAGAATTAAATTTCCTTACCTTGTTTGACATAGCTTGCAAGAGACCTTCAAATATGCATTGTGCCATTTGTGCAAGTTTCTCTTTCATACATTCCGGACACTCCTCTTGAGGGGGTGCGGCTCTGGAATACATACATTATCACTTCACTAACGTTGGTTACGACATATGTGCACATGACGCTTAGCAGGTTCGAGCCGGCCTTTTTCTCATTACAACTAGAAAAACATCTGTAAGAGCCAAAGAACGAGTCAAATTCCGAAATCCACTGGGTTCGCTAATGCACAATGCACTTTCGTGCTTCGTTCAAATTATAAATAAACACGGCGTTCAAACTTACACATTATATCCTGCGATACTGTTCCAGTTCATGTAAGGATTGAAAAAAGGTGGTATGTTTTGAGGCAACCCGGAGTTTTGGAGCAGTGCATTCTAGAACGTTCATATAACGATTTTGAATAATGCGAATTCATGAAGTTTACCATCTGTTGGGCATAAGAGTTGAGAAGCGCTGAATTAACCGTGTCTGCGACTCCGGGATTATTATTTTGCTGCATATACGATGACCACAGGGGATCATTGTTCAACACGTTCTGGAAATCTTAGCATTTAACTGCAAAATAATAATTAAAATTTAACATACAGGGTGGCTGAAAAACTCTAGAGTGTCTCCATTGAATTTTCTCCGTTAAATGGAGTAAATTTCGCTTGTTTTGACATTAATGTAGTGATTTTTCTCATGACGCAAGAGTCATTTGTTTTGTGCACTCAGATCCTCTGCCCGCAGCATATCGATAGCTTGCTTGGCAGCCGATGTACAGAAAGTTTCGGTAATCTCAGCTTGCTTGAGATTCCACTTCGAAGGATGTGGGCATCCTCGCGCGTTTCAGTTGCCATGCGATCTGGCAATTTGCCAGATGTCTTCAAATTCAATATCAAGAGACCCCAAATGCACAACATGTATAACTTTCGTAGGCTGTAAAATGTCCTATCTTCCACACATTCATAAACCCCCTAAGCAGGGAACGATACTTGGTTACCCGGCCATTCATAATGATATGTATATTAAAAAAAGCGCCTTTTAATGTTGGTTCGAATACTGTTTTCCATATCTGCGAAACGAGAACCTGGATTGAGTTATGATTATTTTTCCAAAAATGAATTGCCTTACGGCGAAAGGTGAAAATCATTGGTAAAAATTTTTCTTTCCTCTTTAAATGCTGAATATTGTTTAGATAAGATAAATACAACGCTACACCTTTCAAGATTCCCCTCAGTAGCTTCAAACGGTAAAATAGATCAAATTGGGTGATTTTAACTACCTAAAAGTACGCAAATTTTCTACGAAAAAAGGTTATAACTACCTTCGAATGGTCGTGAGCATAGATTTAGAATCAGCGTTTTGAGATGCACCTTATGGTATACATCGCATTCCAAATGGCCGGGGTCACCAAGTATCGTTTCCTTGTAAGATCAGTAAAAACAGCTGGAATATTGCCAACTCGCGTCGCGATTGATATCGCATGAGGCATGCCCAGGGCCGATAGGTGCAAAAGATGATCAAGCAGTGGAGGTCAGAAATGTCGACGTGAAAAATTATCAGGCCGCTAGCAAACTCGTGGACTGCGAGCCATCTTCAGGAAACGGGAAATTTGGAACAACCGGTTTGAATTAAATTGCAAAAATGATGATTTCTCGTCAGACGGTCTAGAACACCTTAAGTTTCGCAATCACCGTTTATTCTGCGGGCAGTACTTATGAGATGCCGTTCAGCTGAAGAGCTAACAAGGGAAGGATACTAATTTAGATTTGTCTTTTGAGATGGGACACATGTATTTGGAATCAGCTTTGAACGCTGATTCCAAATATGCTATTCCTAGCTGCTTAGCCTTATTCCGAAGCGAGTTATGGGCTTGCTGTCGTGAGTAACTAACGAACTTCTGGATGTCGTAAGACGGTGTTTGTATAAAAATCTGCTCGAAAAAAGTGCTAGGATGTTAAACTAGCATCAGATTAATTCTTTCGATCTCAAAAGGAAGCATTTTACAATTGCAAAACCATCTAAACGTCGACATTGCAGCATCTAGGTCGAGGAGCTCACAAACTTTGCATAGAAAAGAGACCATAACTTGCTTCAGAATGATGCTAAGCACTAGGAACAGCATGTTTGGAACCAGCGTTCCAAGCTGATTCCAAATATATGTGTATCATCTCAAAAGGCGAATCTAAGTTAGTATCCTTCCCTTGTAAGTAATTCTAGGAAATTTTAAGGTCTTTGAAAGGTGCCCTGAAAGATACGTGGTGTTTTCAGATGAGGAAAATGTCACCAACGAAAGAACACAAACGCCAAAATGCACAACAGCTGTTGAGCTGAAAGGCAGTGACCAAGCAAAATTTCACTTTCTGTTTTTTTTTAATTTTTTGGAGCCTTTTCGCCATGCTGAGTCCATACCCAGGCGTTTCAGCGCATGATAATGGTGAAAACGAGCTTTTTTGGAAGCTCTTCATGTTCACTTTCGCTGCAAAATGCGTGTACAATACCGCTCACATTTTTGAAAAATAGACGCGAATGTATGGACATGTCCATACATGTATGGACATGTCCGTACATGTCCGTACATGTCCGCACATGTATGGACATGTCCATACATTCGCGTCTATTTTTCAAAAAATGTGAGCGGTATTGTAAATGACCGGGGTCCGAAACGAGGGGTCTGCCACTGCAATGAAATCTGGCAACCATCATTTCGCCGGGATACTGCCTTCAAATCAGAAAAACAAGAGAAAAAATTGTTACGTGAATGTTTTATCCAGACGATGTGATGGTTTGGGCAAGGATAAGCGCCACTGAAAAACCGCCTCCAGTTTTTATCAGCCAAGGGTGTGAAGAGAGACTTGTCAGCAAGAGGTGCTGACGAAAGCTGCGGTCTTATGAAGCGCAAAAAACGCGAAGGGAAAGTTTCAGAAACACCGGGCTCTTCTGCACGCAGCGAACAACACTATTGCCCTCTTAGACGCTAATATGCTCGAATGTTTGAAGGAAGATCAAAAGCCCCTAGAGTTTCTATCTTAATCCACTCGACTTTCCTGTTCGGGTTACTTACAAGGGAAGTGTCAGAAGTAGCATATCCTTTTGACACGAGACAGGTATTTTCTGAAGCAGCTTGCAACGCTGATCCCCTTTCTTAGCTATATGACGTAATCTGGGTTGAAGTTATTGGATTTAATTTGCGAGAACCTTACAACGCTGAGATAGTCAAAGCTGTCAAAGCCCATTTTTGGGCTGAATCATAAAAAAAACTTTGTCAATGCTTGACGCAAATCTACTCCTCCTTCAACGACGCTGTTTGCTCGACAAGCACTTGAACGATTTTCATGAACATAGGTACTTCAACACGATGGGAAATGTTTCCGTGCACTTCTACGCTTAGCTTCATGCATATTTGCATGCATCTCCGGGGTGTGCACGAATTCTTAAAATTCAAGCAATTCCAAGCATTTTTTGCTGAGAGCGGAGCTTGCCATAGGTGGGCGGAGCAGCTCCGCCCTTTATGGCAAGCTCCGCCGAAATTGCTTGAATTGCAGAATTCGTGCAGCCCCGGCGATTCTGAAAAATGGCGGAGCTTGTCACTGAGGGCGGAGCCTGCCTGACGGGGGAGGGGGAGAGAGACAGAGGTTGAGGTCGCTTGAGGTTCTCCAGTCATTTATGATCTCTTCTATGCGCTCTGAGCACAAAAAAGTCTCTTGCAGATGGCAACGAGTGGGCGGAGTTTTCCAAAAATGGGAGGGGGCAACATCAATTACTTTTTAGACAGATTCGAATGTATGAACGCAAATCAGATTGATTGGAGACATCAGAAGTTGTTTTGGGTGCCGCGCGACATCGCACGGCACCGTCGTCACCGTGTCAAACAATGTAAAATTGGCTGATTCAGATGCATGTAACTCTCGTCTCCAGATGATACCTATCCCATGTCAAAAAGCCACTGCAACTTCTGACGCTTCCCTTGTTAGGAAGTTAAGGAGAGAAAATCGAACAGTGGGAATTCAAAAAACAGGGTTTCGAATAAAATTCGAAAACTCGAATAACAGTTTCGAATAGATTTTATTCGAATTTTTTTTTATCCTCGCATGGGTCCCGCTTATGCAGGGTCTGCTTTCCTTGTCAAT